AAAGACAGACCATGAAAGAAAGCGTGGGGGAATAACTACGACAACGCTAAAACAAGTTATACATCTTTTATCTTTAAAAATGGTATTTTATACCCTCACAGGACACTCCAGTCTTACTATCTTGGAACGATAAGACAATGGCCTACTTCTCCAATGAGTTGCGAATACCGGCCGGAGATTACCAAGGGAATCTCATTGTTAATGGCCAATTGTACCCGACCGAAGAATTTTCGGTTAGATCGTATACCTTTGAAGTCGATCTTTACATGAAAGATGGTGAGTTTCCTCATTGCATTAGTTTCACTGTAGCAGTCAATAATATGTCGTCCTTACAATAAAGATTTTCTGCCTCTTGTACTCTCTGTATTTCTTAATGTACATTCTCATTTTAAATTGGCTTCCCCTCTGCTTCACCCTTGAAACTTACTTTCGCGTCTTTTGGGGCGTACCTTCCACGTTTAAAACCAATGGACAGTCAAATATTTCACGGGGTGGTAGATTAGGCGTATATTTTTGGTTAGAGTTAAGGTTAGAGTTTTTTAAACGCGCGAAAACCCTGGCATTGGAAGAAACGCGCTCACCATCTAAAAAAAAAAAAAGCACCGGACTAGACTGGCTTCTTTTCGTAGCAAAAGGCGCTCCAAGTTCTATTGTTTCACCTTGGAGTTAAAAATACTAATACAACCAACGGCTAGTTAGTAAGCATTCAAGTAAGTTTATTGTGTACACATTATTAAATAATCAACTGTGTTATGTGAAATTATAGTTTAAGCGTTGGATGAATATCATGGGATGAAAAGAAAGACGACGGAAAGATAGACAGAATATAGACAGATTAGTGGGCGGATGGATCTGTAAATAAGTAGAAGGTCGGAACATCATCTTTAGTGGATACATCGTTATTTGCCCTAGAAAAAAAAGTGCCGGTAGCCACCGCAAAGTGTTTACAAAAAGGTGCCGATAATGCTCACAAAGTGTTCATTACAGTAGTGCTGAAAACTTATGCTGAAAAAAGGTGCCAGTAATGCTCACAAAGTGTCTACTACAGTAGTGCTAAAACATGATGCGAAAAAAAGGTGCCAGTAATGCTCACAAAATGTCTACTACAGTAGTGCTAAAACATGATGCTAAAAAAAATGTGCCAGTAATGCTCACAAAATGTCTATTACAGAAGTGCTAAACATGATGATGAAAAAAGGTGCCAGTAATGCTCACAAAATGTCTATTACAGAAGTGCTAAACATGATGCTGAAAAAAGGTGCCAGTAATGCTCACAAAATGTCTATTACAGAAGTGCTAAACATGATGCTAAAAAAAGGTGCCAGTAATGCTCATAAAATGTCTATTACAGTAGTGCTAAACATGATGCTGAAAAAAGGTGTCAGTAGTGCTCACAAAATGTCTATTACATTCGTATTGAAAAATGATTATGAAAGAAAAAATGCCAGTAATGCCTATCGTTGTGTATGGCCCTGGTGATTTGTTCCTCAAGTACGATTCTGGGGACCACCCAGCCTCATGCCTCATGAGCACCATACAATTACCATAGCCCTGATTGTGATGCTTCAAAATAACAACGTGTACACACACACACAAACACACACACACACACACACACACACACACACACAGACAGAGAGAGAGAGAGAGAGAGAGAGAGAGAGAGAGAGAGAGAGAGAGAGAGAGAGAAGCTGATAAATGTACTATTCGCACCTACTGTGTGCTACCAATGTTAGCCATGGACAATCCTAGAAAAACATAAACACAAAATTACAACATTTGAGATAAGATGTATAAGAAATGTAGCCGAGGTGGTGTGAGAACAAGAAGAGGCAGAGTCACCAACGAAGAACAAAGAACAGTGATAGACACAATACCTATACATGATTTCACAGAACATTAAAGGATCAAATGATTTGGTCATCTAGGCAGAATGGAACAAAATTAGCCAGCAGCCAAAGCGTACTACACGAGAACAGCAGGCTACAAGTCAAGAGGCCGACCAAGAAAGACATGGGTGGAGGGAGTAACAGATATACTACAGAAACGCGGAATGACATTAATACAAGCGACTATAAAATAGGGTTCTAGTAGCATGCATAAGATGTTGGAAAAATCGTGAGAAAACACGTCCATCTGTCGTAACACAGGACGCCATATTTCGTTATTTTGAAGCTCAACCCCGGCTGTAGTCGGTGGGCCCTAATATAACCTAACGGCTGAACGGGGCTTATGGGATCTCCTCCGGGGCTATCCTCATCCGCATGGTGGCACTTTGTGTCACCGGGTGTTTAAAGCTTGGTAAATGTCCTGGTGGCGTTGAATCTTATTTATTCGTGAGAAAAGTCTCTAACTTTTTTTTTTTTTTTTTTTTTGCTGCAGTGTTTATTACCTTATATTTTAAATTAATTGAGTTATTCTTAGTGATTTTTTTTTTTTTTTTTTATCGTCGTGTAACTATTCTGTCAATTGATCATCATTAAAAAGGTATAAATTTTTTTTTTTTTTTTTTAAATTGTGACTCAGGTAATGGATTTGCTGAGAATAGTTCAAAATTTTTTCTTCTCAACCGACAACAATACAGTTTTCACTGTGATTTGTCCAAGCGTTGAAAGAATATGTTTAGCCAAATCGTCAGTTTCCTGAACCCAGTTCTCGCATTTCGTGTCCATTTGTACTGAAAGGTAACAAGGTGGATAATCGATATCCAAGATATATGATCTTCAGGAGGAAAAGATTACTAACGTTCGCAAACTGATTTTGATTTCTGAGACAAACGATCGCCCATGGCAACGTTAGGTAAACTAAACAGGCTGTTTCATTTGTTACATTTAATTGACATTGCCTACTATATCTCATGGTAAACGAAGATTTACTAGACACTAAGATAGTTATGTTCGAACATGCTAATGGTAATTTATGATTTGTCGTATTATGTCATATACGGCTTGCAGTATGAATTTGTAGTAATAGTTTGTGCAGTTTAACTTAAACTTTAAGTTAATTCTATTCTAGGGTTTCTTTTGGTGTACGTCTTCGCTCTCTTAGTTCCTTTATTCCTATTATAGTGTCTTTTTTGGTGATTCTGTGTTCGTTTCTTCTCAACGTGTGTCTAATATATCTAATATATTCTTAGTCCTATAAGTCCTATAACTGTTGATACTAGTGGTTGCCTAGACATTTAGCTCTCCTTTAAACTACGGCCGGTTAGTCGGAGTTCAGTCCCATGGCTGCAGTGCAATTACGGAGTGGAAAAGAGCGAACAAAACAAATGACATTATTACTGTGTGTTGGCGATAGACAGCGTGCAGTGCCCTGCTGTCATCATACGGCTAGGGTTTGGGTTAAGGTTAGGGTTATCGGTTAGGGTATGGTTTAGAGGTATGGTTTGGGTTAGGGTTAGGGTAGGATTAGGGTTAGGGTAATGCCGCATCCACGCAAGCTTATCGCTCATTAAGGCATACAGATCCGCAGGTGTCACATCTACGGCCACTAAGTCTTGCGTCACAAAAACGCGGTCGCTAATGTGAGTCACAGCGCGGGGTCTAGCTCTAGCAGCCATGTCGACGGCAGGTTGTGTTGTGATTCGTGCCTTCTCCACTCCGTAATTGCACTGAAGCCAGGGGACTGAACTCCGACTAACCAGCCGTGTAACCGGCCGTAGTTTAAAGGAGAACCGACATTTATCTTAATTCTTATTTCATCACCCTTCTTGACTGCATCTGATTTTTTTTTTGACACTTTCCTTATGCAATTGTTTTCATTTGGATGCAAATGTGGGTGACTATCACATCGTTTGCAAATTCAATAATTTCTCCAATGTTGACCTCATCAATATTGCTATATTCTCTAACATCTGATCGCTCAACTGGTTTAAATTCACCATCCGAGTCACTTTCACAGAAATTTTAGTTTTCATTATGATAACCAAAATTAAAAACATCTAACAAAAACAATTTCAGAGCTTCAGGCACAAAAAGGCACATTTTGTGGCCTGTGCTTGTGTTTAGAACATTGGTATCCTGGTCAGTCGAAGATGAAATGGGAAAATTCACTGTCTGAAAATGATACTAGCAATGAATTGGATAAATTTGAGCTTAAATTTATTAACAAAGACTTGTATTCAAAGTAAAAGCATTTGAGTAACCGTCCATGAATATTTTAATGGTAGTTTCAGACATAAACTCTACCAGACCTGAGGCTCTGAACCTGACTCTGCCCTACATCTGGTCACTTGAGCATTAAAGAGTAAAAACTAACATGATATAGAAAAATGTTAATTACATGCAAACAAGTGGTTAGAATAAGATAGAACTCGTAGACATTGTAGAAAATAGGTCTAACTTTCATCTAGCCCCAAAATTCTACCTTTGTTTGCCAAATCACTCAGCAGGATGAGCCTTGTTGCACACAGAGGTACTTCTTGTAAAGTAAGCACTAGATGTTGCTCTTCACCTTCTTGCATGGATTATCTTTGTTGACACGCCCCTTCTCTTACTGTTGATCAAGCTCTAGATCTATAAGGTTCAAGATTCTCCTCATCACTCAAGCTCTCACTGTCTGTGTCACTTGAACTGGAAACGTACTCTTGATGAAATTCTGGCTCCTCGGCGTCTGAATCAACCAAAGTATCGATCACCTGCCGGACTGAGAAAAGCCTAGACCTACTTCCCTTTCCTGTTGAAGTGCTTAGTTCATCAGCTGCTTATTTCATTGTGAATTTTCAGAATTTTTCCAGGTTAAACCACACATAGTCAATTCAAGCACATTAGGGCAGACATCTGCAATGGCCAACCATAAGGTTTGACCATGATCTGTTGTTATTTTTAGTTTATGATGTATTTTTTTTACGTACTAGGTGAAGTACTGAAAATTAGGTACAGTGGTATAGCCACAGATTCAGAAATTACCAAAAAATTGGCACACCGAGTTTGCAAGGTTAAAAACTAACATGGAACAGCATGGGAATCAATATGTGTGGGACACACGATCGAATCAGACTGTGTGGTTTGGGCAAATCAAACTCCTCAATTTAATTGTTGAATTTTATTTATTTTATGTTGATTTTAATTCTAGTTATGAATGACTCAGTCTTTCTTCTCATCTTTTAGAACTGTTTGTGAAAACTGTCCACTGTCATAATATGACTGCTTGGCTTAATGTAATTTATAAATAATTATTTACTGTTTGTAATTTTCTCATTTAATTTGTTTTCCTTTTAGCAGATGAAATAATGTCTACAGACAACAGACAAGACACATCAATGCTTGAGAAAGATATAAGTCCTGCTCAAGCTTCAGATTCTTTGGAGTTTTACCCCAAATCCTTTCATGGCCTGGAACATGTAAACTCCAAAGCTGCAAAAGAAGATGGTCATTTAAATCATGACAGAGAAAGTGATGAAATATTTGATGTCCAGAAGGACTGTCAGGAGAAGCCATCGACATCTTCTATTAAATCAGATGATATATCTTTAAGCTCAATGAAAAGACATTCACCAGTTGGAAATGACGATGCAGGCACATTTTCTGAGTATAATTTTGACCAAAAATATAATGTTGGACATTTAGAAGAGCAGAACACTAAGCAAGAGCATAAAATATCTAATGGAGCATTTATAAAATCTTCAATAGATGGGCTGAAGCAGCCTGGAGCAGGCATAGAATTTGTGGAAGATGTAGTTAGACCATCTTCAGCACTGTATTCAGATGTAAATTCTAAGACTGGAACACAAGCTGAAACAGAAACTAGGGTACAAAACTCAAGACCCCCATCTCTTGGTGCCGATTCTGCTCACAGATCCCACCATAATTTATTAAAACATTCACTGTCAATGGATTCTATATATGGGTAAGTTGAACAATTATTTTCTATTGCTGTGCGGTATGTTGTTTGCTCCTAGTTACCTGAATAATGAATGACTAATAAATAAAAAAAATTATTCTTGCCTGTTCTTTGACCCCATTTTGGGGTAAACTAAAATACTTATTTGTGGGCACTGCAAGTGTACTAAACAATTTGAAGTCCTAGATATCCTGTGTCTACCATCATTATGTTGGCTCTATGGCTAAGTCGATGCAAATGCTTCGTAATGCCAGGGTGCCAGGTTCGATCCCAGCCGCGGGCCATGCGCCTTGTGTTGGTTTCGACAGTGGTATCTGGAAGCCGACCGTCCAGAAAGCAATGGCAAACTACTGGACATAAATTTGCCCAGAGAAACCACACAACAGCTAGGGGCTGCTGGGATTGGTTCTGCAACGTCCTGTAAAGCATACGCAACTAATCTAACCTAACCTAACCTAACCAGCACGATAGTCAACTCCTACCTCTTCTGCTAGAATTCTTACCACCACTGAACCTCACTGTTCTCTCTAAAACATTATCATGTTTAACAGGGTCAGCGTGTTTCAGTTTATGAGAAATGATACTGTTTATGAGCAAGCCCCCCCCCCCCCCCCCACCCCCCTTCCCCCCACTCCCTCCGCTTGATTTTCTTATCATGTAGAATGTAAATATTTTATATTTTATTTTTCTTGGCTATGATACTGGAAGAATCTTTCTGCAACAGCTAAGTTCAAGAGGTTTCTACATTACTGTTACATTTCTTAAAATACATATTTTCCTTCTTGCTTAGAATATTCACCACACATATTCTGTTCCTGCATTTCAGTTAGTAAAACTCCCTGTATTTGTTCAGGAGCTCCACTGTGGGGGAAGAAAGAATAAATCCACTGCCTCTCTAACAAGCTTGTCGTAACAATCGACTAATTATGGGTTTCTTTCAAAGTCAGAGTGCATCTGCCTGAAAGGCAAGGAACCAAAAGTCTGCATACAGAAAAGCATGATCTGTGAAACATATGGGCAAGAAAAACTCAAGTTTAGGAACAAGAGTAAACTCCAGAAGTGGATAGAACTTTCCGCTGGAGTTTACTGCCGGTGAACGCAAAGAAGAATTAGCAAAACTGTTTTATTTCATATTTAACATTATAGCTTTCTACAAAAAAAACAACAACAATAGTGTCTCATTTTGTTGCTTCACTCAATGTTATATGATAACTGTTGTTTGTTGGGCGGCAGAGACGGTGGCTCTAATTATCATCTTTCTTCAGCTGCTTGAGAAGTATGGGACTATTATTGTCTCCAACTGTTCAAAACTATTTAAACTATTTGTTTTCATGGCTAAAAAATATCACTGAAACCAGAGTATCTGTAATTATGGTTTGGATTTGATAGATTTGACTAATTAAGCATGATCAAAGCCATTCATTTAATTTTTTTCTTCTTCTTCTTCACTTTCACCAGTTGTAAACTCTGATGGAAAGTTTTGCTTATTTGTCCATTTCTGGACTTTAGTCTTGTTCCTGAATTCAGAAGACTGTTTATCCTTCACTTCTCAGGCAGATGCACTCTGATTTTGAAGGAAAATCCTTAGTTAGTTGTTTTTTACAACATTCTTGTTTAAGGAACATTAGGATTTTCTGCACCCCCCTCCCCCTTTCCCCCCAGATGGGGTCCCAGAACCCACACAGAGAATTCACAGAATGATGCTATATGATTAATCTGATAATTGTCCACAGGCGACCTGAATCTAAGGCCAGTGACAGGTTTTCCCCAGATAATCACAGAAAGGGTGACACCGATGTCTTGGGACATCATTACACAAGTGATACAGATCCAGATAAACCTAGAGCTACCAAAAGTCCTGTTAATTTTATGCAAACTACCATCTCAAAAGATGGAACCAGCCCAGCAGTGATATTAGGACAGGAATATTCTAGATCGACGCCCCAGAGAGAGATTACCGGTGACAACATTTATGAGCATAGAAGAAAAAGGTATACACTTATGATTAATTGGATTCATTTTATCTGATTAAAAAGAAGATTACTGGCCACACTGAGCATAAATTGATCTTATGATGTCTTAGCAGGTGCTAAGTGGTGCAGACTTGAAAAACTGAGGCTGTGGGGTTTAAAGCTAACTAGGCTCTGGCTTGTCAGGTAGGATGCGATCCATCTGGTTTAAACTCCCTTAAACTGCGACAGGCCCAGAAAACTGGCAGTGGATTTAAACCTTGGTAAAAGAAACAATACAAAGAAAATGCCAAAGGTTGACCACACAAACGATGGATAGATGAAATAGCTAAGGTCATAAATACAAGCACAAATGTAGCACATTCCAAGACTGTCTTCTGATACCTTTTCAAAACTTGGTGCTGAAAGGTAATTCTTTTGTTTTTTGTTGTTGTTGTGTATCCTTTACAGGACGTTGCAGAGCCAACCCCAGCAGCCCCTGGCTGTTGTATGGTTTCTCTAGGCAAATTTACGTCCAGTAGTTTGCCATTGCTGAAAGGTAATACAGGACTAGAAAAGAAGAAGAAGAAGCAGAAGAAGAAAAAGGAAGCAGGGGAACTGAAGCCTGCACACTCATCCCCCCCCCCCCCCCCAACAGTTGTTAGGGAGCTGAGCTCCACCCCTAGAAAATTTACAAGGGGGTTATATAGTTCCAGTTGGGCAAATAATGCTTTAGCAGCTCTTAAAATTTCATTGGCACATGTTGAAACTGAAATAACATTACAAATGAAAATACACAGCTTGGTTGTTTGATATAATTTAGACTTTCCTATTTTGTTCAGGCTTCTAAAAGATGCTGTTACCTTGCCTAGTTTATTTCATAATGTCTTTCTCTACATTTCCATTTCTGTCAGAATTACTACCTAAAAAAGTTACTTTAATATTTGTGTCTCTAATGTAACTTTAACTTGAACTGTTATTGATGCCTTGAATACATTTCGTCTTGCCATAACTAATGAATGGGTTTGCAATTGTAGTAATTATCAGTATATTTTATTTCTTGTTATCTGTCTTGTAATGTATTACATTCACTCATTTGTGCCGATTAGTCTAAAACAAATAAGTGGCTAGCACCATAAACCCAGTACGACTCAAAGCGGGGTAAAAGTTTCTTTGCTTTTCTAAAAAAAAAAAATTCCTAATGATGCTTGAGGAGTGACAGTTGCCCAACTCAATAAACAGAGCTCCCCAAATGGTTTTTGGGCCCTGCTATGGAAGAAACGAGAACAGGCCCACTGCTTCACCAACAAGCATGTTGTAAGAGTCGACTAATTGCCCGCTTTCTTTAAAGGGAGACTGCATCTTCCCAAGAGAGAAGAAACCAACAATCTACACACAGATAAGTCAGATCTGTAAAGTGGATGTGCACACGACGCTAAAGTTCTGAACAAGACTAACCTCCAGAGGTGGATGAACAACCAGAACTTTTCGTCAGATTTTATAGCTGTGAAAAAGAAGAAGAAGCAACAGAGCATTGTTGCTTTAGTTGGCACCTTTCTGTCTTTCCAGGCGATAGAGTTATGAGTTTGGTTATCTTTATAGCAATCCGGCCACATCCATAGGTGTTCAGATTCCCCTTTCAACATATACATTAGTTTCTCAGGCTCAAGGCTGGGTTGACAAAAGAACCAAGGCCATTTTTTTATTTAAAAAAAATGTCCGGCTCCGTCAGGATAGGAACCCACAAACTTCTGATCCCCAGATGAGCTTCTAGCTGCTACACTACAGAAGCTCTCCCATGGCCCAAAGGCTGGGCTGTATTGTAGAGACCATGTGTTGCACAATCATTTGAACATTTACATAATATTTTGTACAAGATTTGATTTTTCTTATACATTAGGCTTTTACTTCCACGGAAATTGTGATATTCTTCAAATGGTTTTACAGCAAAGCTGTGCTGTAAGACAAAGTGAATTAATTGTTGTGTCTTCCTTAGAGCTGAGAGTGGGGAACCCATTTCTTCTGGCAGTTCACTTAGTGGACGACCACCAAGCCACCCAAGCAGTCGTTATGGAAGCCAGAATCCGAGCAGGACCCAAAGTCTTACTAGTGTAATTAGTGATCAAGAATTAGCACAATTGTTTGAACACTCAGGGTGAGTATGTAACTTAAATAAGATAATATCTACTTTTGGATGTGATGATGAACTTTAACTCTTTCTTCTTTTTCTTCTTCTTCTTCTTCTTCTTCTTCTTCTTCTTCTTCTTCTTCTTCTTTTTCTTTTTATTCATCTGAATAATGTTATTGCGTTGCACCTGTTTACAGCAAAGCTGCAATATTTGTGCCTTTTGACCAACAAGTTCAGACTTTATCTGGCATTTGTTCACGGGTTAACCTTCCCATGCTTTTAACTTTTTTTAGTACCAAATTATTCATTGTACATTTTTCTGTGCTTCTATAGATTTTGTGGCATTCTTTCTGTCTTCTATAATGTCTAGGTGTTATATATAGCCTTTATATTTGAAATATTGTCGGCTTTGGTGGCTTAGACATTGTGAACTTGCTTGACGATTCAAAGATGTTGGGTTTGACCCAGCTGTGGATGATTTGGCAGCGGACCACCTTGTGTTGGTTTTGACAGTGGTTTGAAGAGTAGAACATTCAGAAGCAGTGGCAAACTACTAAACATAAAATCACAAACAGCTAAGAAATGCTGCACTTAGTTCTATAAAGTCTAGTAAAGGATACACCGCTAACTGATATGAATTATTAGTTAAACTGTTATGCCACAGTATGTTTTCTCAACCCATTCAGACTATATTTTTGCTGTTTTTAAGCTCAACTCTTTGGAACATAAGTAGTTAAAATAACAACCGCTTGGTACTGATGTAGCTAACAGAGAGGTATAGCAAAGGTGGAGTAAATATTAAAAAATAAGGTTGCAAAATAATCAGCAAAATAATTCCAAAACATTGCTGCTTTGTTGAGAAAACAAATTAAGTCATTTTAAGGGAAAGTGTAGGAAGGCGAGATGTCAACTGCAGTGAACAACACAGTCTTACTGCAGTTAGCAACATAGTCTTACTGCAGTGAGCAACAGTCTTACTTCAGTGAGCAACCCAGTCTTACTGCAGTTAGCAACAGGCTTACTGCAGTGAGCAAAACATTCTTACTGCAGTGAGCAAGAGTCTTACTGCAGGGAACAACACAGTCTTACTGCTGTGAGCAAGAGTCTTACTGCAGGGAACAACACAGTCTTACTGCTGTGAGCAGCACAGTCTTACTTCAAAGAACAACACAGTCTTACTGCACTTAGCAACACAGGCTTACTGCAGTGAGCAATAGTCTTACTACAGTGAGCAACACAGTCTTACTGCAGGAAACAATACAGTCTTACTGCAGAAAGCAACACAGTCTTACTGCAGGGAACAATACAGTCTTACTGCAGAAAGCAACACAGTATTACTGCAGTGAGCAACACAGTCTTACTGCAGTGGGGGATGTGTGTTTTGATAAATGCCTGGATGTTCTGGCCATATTGATAGGCTGAAACGAGAGCGCTGACTGGACCTGTGAAACTGATGATCGTGTAATATGGCAAAACATGGCAGCTTACATTTATCAGCATAGCACATGATGATGATGGGAAATGCATGTTACAGCTATCTAAACAGGCATCAGTTACTTATGTATTTGCTACACATAATATAAAAAAAAAGATCCCCGTCAGTAATTTGGGGTATCTGTGAACACTATTAAAACAGTGAGGTATGATATATAGAGTAAGGCTCCAGAAGGACTGCTTGCCTATGGCTTCAGTTGTCATATGCTTGAATCTCTCATAGTAATCTGGCCTCCCAAGTCAGTCAAGCCAAAGATGGTCTGAGAAGTAATGGCAGCTGGCATAATGCTTAACGTCAGCTATTGAGTGTAAATTGCTCTGTAAACTATCAGGGTAGCCCCCATATACTTAGTAACCTCATGGTATGGAAAAGAGCCGTTTACTTGAAAAAACTAGCTTGAGAGCAAAGCATTTTAGAGTTAGGAAAGCAGTTTAGAGTCAGAAAATAACATTTTCATAAACTCTGCCGAAGACCATAAATAGTTTTAAGAAAAAGAACATGTAAAAAGTAAGTGAAGGGCCCTTTCAGTTTTTGGCATATACTTCTAGAAAAAACAATGGTGACCTAGTTTTAACCCAAGGGAAATCACCCTTGTGCAATAAAGTAAAGTAAAGGACAATTTTTTTTAAAGCTAGTTGTGCATTTGTCATATGATGCCAGACTTGTATATGTATAGATCAATTGGCACTCTGTGGGTCAAAATGATGCTGTCTGCCTACACTTACCAGGAAACTTCCTGGTATCCATTGTAGGCTGAATCAATCTGGGAGCCAGGGTAGTTTTTTTTTTTCAAACTGCCTGTCAAAGATTTAAATAGCATTGTGGTAGTATAGTGGTTAACGTGCCAGTTTATCAGACAATGGTTTCTACTCAGTTTGCAATAATGAACAGATATTCTGACCCAGTATGGCTGTTTGAAGTGAATCCAACCTTGCAAACTTAAACCTACAAAGTAAAGGTGGCAAGATTGAAACCTGGTTGTTCAGGAAGATCTAGAACTGGACATTTTAACAAAATTATTTATCATGAGATTATCCTTATGTTTTCTTTTTAATCAATGGGCGTGAAGATATTTTTTTATAATTTAAAATTTTTCATTTACTGCCTAACAATTGCTTAAATCCTTTGGTAGGTTGTTTACACATGCGTGGGTTTGAACATGAACAGTAAAGTAACCATTATTTTCAATTTATCAAACACACTTCATTTCTAATTTCAAATCTTCTCCACTGTTTACAGACCAAGCAGTGCTGGCTCACTGCAGCCTAGATCTGGTGCTGTAGATCCCTGCAATGCAAGAGAAGCTGAGAGACGATCCACAAGTGCTTCAAACTTGGCCAGTCAGTCTCAGGTAGTGTCATGACAGAATTAGTTCTATATGACCATTGTTTCAGTGTTATATCAAACCTGTTCTACTGTATGGCAGTGATTTTTCACAATGTGAACAAAGAGTTTAGATGAAGTGATGGTATATCTTTGAGATCCGTCTTTTGCATTGGATGTTCACTCTCTCAGATTGCTGGTCCTCTGTGTCTTGATCCAGTTGTATCACTGTCTGACTCTTGTGTGCTTGCCTTAATGTGTTCCAGCCATTATGGTTTTTATAAGTGTTATTGGCAGCAATACATTAGACAGAAGCGTGTGTTCACACATGATAACCTAGATAGTAAGAGTGACTGATAGAGCTTTTGGGTATTGTTGACACATTTCCATCTTCCCATCCGTCGCTGGTTTATTTTGTCTTCACTTTTATATATTTTTAACATTCCAGATAGAGTTATATTATAATATGCTATAAAGAGACATACTAATAACAGCCTGTGGTCAGGGATAAAGTTTCGCCTCTCAACAGCACAAAGCTTGGACAGTATTGTTGAAACCACGTGTTGCCCATGCAGTATGATTCCTCCCTTGGGCCTTCTTTGTTTGCTTACAAGCAAAAGTACCATCAGTTCTTCTGAAATAAAGCATGTAGCAGAAGCCGCCACAACAGAAGAGCATTTCACTGCTTGTCCGCATGTCAGAACTCTCTCCTAGATCAGCTGCCAGCCAAGGCTAAGGGCCTGGTCTGCCATTTCAAAACATTGAGTTTCCAGGCCACTAGGATAAAGCTTGAACCCTCTCCAACGCACTGTTCCGCCCAAAGCCACTGACACAAGTATGATGTCAGATTTTGTATATGCTGTCCAACATTCAGCATTAACAGAGAGCAGGTAGCACGGCCTATTGTTATTGAGGAGCTCAGTCATGTGTGGATATTATACTTGAAAAATGACATTTGTTTTTCAAACCGGCTTATCTAAAAAATCACAAAACTAATATAACTTATAAAATGAACATCCAGGTGCTGTCAAATTCTCGGGAATTTCTTCCTCCAAAAAGTTCAGTGTTAAATGAGAGGGAGAAACTGAAAGAAACTTATGGTAGAAGCTCTGACATGTCTAGGGTCTCATCACAGGCTAACAGCCGCACAGTTACCCCAGTTTCTTTTGACACTGGAAATAAAGAAGTAAGTGTGAGGACAGGTGTAGATCATTAATTTTTTTTTTTCCAAATGTTTGGTGATTGTTGTGTCTGCTAGTAGTTACTGAGTTGACAAATTATGTCATAGATTTATCAGGTTGCATCTCCCTCTGGATATTGGGTGGAAGTCTGCTGTCAATATAATGTGTAAAACCTGTGGTTGAAATATTGACTGACTGACTGACTTTCTACCCCACCAGGACATCACACAAGCGATAAACACCCAATGACACAAAGTGCATGTGGATGAGAATCGCCGTGGAGAGGTCCCAGAAACCGCGTTGAGACAATTGACCATATTTATGGCCTGCCTATATTGCGGCCCCTGGCAAAAGCCAGAGTGGGGCTTCAAATAACAAAAAATTTTGTCCTTAAAGGACGAAACTTAATTAACATAATTGAAATATTACTAATCCAGTCCTAATTGCAACTAGCTTGTGTATGCTGTGCTGAATCGTAAACTATATTCTAATGTGCCTCTCTGCATATATATATATACCCATCTAGTTTTTTATGGAGATGGCCATTGACACATAACTGGTGCTGCCTTATGCAATATTATAACTGCTAATTTGTTGTAACTATCTTGCCTTGATGCGGTGGACGGTTTGTATTTTGTCAGTTCTGATGGCTATTTTGTGCATTTAGTGAGTCTGAATGCTGTTGGTTTTGTGTATTGGCAGTTTTCATGGCATTCTTTGCTGCATATTTAATGTTAGTGTAGGCTTTTGGCTTAACTGAATCAGTAATCTGTTGAAATTTTGTGACTAATTAGAGGTTTGAGGTTTTGAACAATGGATCAACATCATGGCACATGGGTAGTAACCCATAAGTGCTCCGTTCTTCTTCCAACTCAAGTCTGGGTCTGTAGAAGCTCACACAGTACACAGGCTCTGTAGCACCGGCGAGGATCCTGAAATACTTTAGGTAGATTTTTAACTCTAAATTTTGCCCAGGCAGCTCTGTTGGGCTATTCTTTTCGATTTCCAACTGCCAAGGAATTTTGTACGTGCGCCACAATGCACATGGGCGTCTGATCTCACTACCCAGAGACCAGGGGGAATTACTAGAAGTCCAAGTCCACATGAAAAAAATCCCAGCCCTTCCTGGGGATTGAACCCAGAACCTCTACCACTCGAGGCGGACACCATGCCTCGAGACCAAAGTTTCCTTTAAAGTTGGAGTCCATCTGCCTGAGAGACCAGGAACCAGTATCTGCATACAAATAAGCCAGATCTGTTGCACATCTGTTGCACATCTATTGTACATGTGTTGCACATCTATTGTACATGTGTTGCACATCTATTGTACATCTGTTGCACATCTATTGCACATCTGTTGCACATCTATTGCACATCTGTTGCACATCTATTGCACATCTGTTGCACATCTATTGTACATGTGTTGCACATCTGTTGCACATCTATTGTACATGTGTTGCACATCTGTTGCACATCTATTGCACATCTGTGCATGCAAATCTCAAGTTCTAGGACAAGACCAAAGTCCAGAAAAGGGCCAACTACTAGAACTTTCTGCCAGAGTTTACAACCAGTGAATGCTAAGATGAAGATTAAGCAAATTTTTGTCTGTACTATAATTTTTGTTTCGAAATCTCATGGAAACTACAGGTCAATAATGATCGTATCCAAGATCTAGAAGTATTAGTTCAAAACCTGAAAAAACTCCTGGCAAGTCGTGAAACTGAAGCTCATTCTCTGAACTCTCAACTGGAGGATCTGAAAGAAATTAACCGGTCACTGAGAGAGGATCTTGACCACAGGGCAAGGAGGTACACACCTGTTTCCAGTGTACAAGATTCATTTGAGGTAACTATGCTATGTTAGCGTATAAATCATGTACACAAGGATTTGGTTTTTAAAGGTTAGTGACTTGGAATAAGTGGCTAAGCAGCCGAGATACTGGTTTTCTAATAATTAGACCTGGGTTCAGATCTTCACCAAGGCAATATAATGTTCACTTATTGGAGTTGAAATACAAACTGTGTGTGTTGAAAACTTGTACAGTGTGGTGACCTCTGTAAGTACAATCACCATTTCTTTCTGTGTTGAAAATGTGCATGCAACACCTATCGCCACCTAACAAATGGAGACGTAAACCTAATAACACCTTTAGAAACCACCAACTATTTTTTGCTGCCATCCCATAGCTGTTTGTGACTTACTTATTGACTTCCTCTCGTAATAATAATAATACATAATTCTAGACTATACTTCATGTTTTTAAAATTATCTTATCTTGTTAGTTGATTAGAAAAAAAGACCATGTTCTGTAGGTTACATTATGGCCAGGATGATTTTCGTCATATTCACGGCTTAAAACATTTCTCCACCAGGTAGCCCTGAAAAAGGCAGTGCTGATGCTGTTACTCATCCACTTTCCTGACCACTGACTCACCGAAGATGTTAAACTGCTATTCGTCCATCTTTTAATATTATCCTCCCACTTGTTTGCTGTCTGCCTCTTGCTCACTTGCCTTATTCTCCCTCCAGTCTGTTTTTTAAGAACGAACTGTTTTACAGTCTCAGCTTCACTTACACATGTTTGTTGCTAATAGTTAAATTTTGTTGTTGTTAATAACAACATACTTTTCTTGACAGTACAAGCAGCTGCAGTCAGAGAAGGAGATTCTAGCAAGTGAAGTTGTCTCCCTTAGAGCTGAACTGCAGCGACTGAAGAAAGGTCAGACAGGAAGTAGATATGGTGTGTCTGGGATTACCGACTACAGCCCAAACAGTCCTACAGTGTTACAAAGAAAAATTGGTGAGTTGAGTTCTCAATGTAAATGCCTGGTTAAAACTGATGAACGTTAAATGGTATTTATTTAAGAAAAGTAAAGAAATAAGAGAAATGTCTGGACAACTACACATCATGAGGAGAAATGGACAGAGAATCACCGAACTAGCACTAAAATGGGAAACAAAAGGGGGGAGTAGGGGAGAGAAACCGAAAGAGAGAGAGACTTTTCCAGTAGGTGGTGTTACTGAAAGAAAGTCTTGTTTCTGTTACTTTTTCCTTCTTATGGATCATACATAGGGAAAGGTCAGAAAGGTGTACGGAAAAAGTAAGAAAATTATTAGATATTTTAATTCATTAGGTAACAGAAGGTTTCACATGAGAGCCAATGTGAAGACATAACCACGCTGAAATATCAGGAATGCATTGCTTTCTGAGTGACAATATAGAACACAGTGTTAATTCCATTGGCAAAGCCAGATTTTTATATTCTGCGCTGACTAACTTTCTACCCCACTAGGAAATCACACAAGCGATAAACACCCGATGACATAAAGTGCCACCATGTGGATGAGGATCGCCATGGAGAGGTCCCAGAAACCTCGTTGAGACAATTGGCCATATTTATGGCCTGCCTATATTGCGGCCCCTGGCAAAAGCCAGGGTGGGGCTTCAAATAACAAAAAATGTCATCCTAAAAGGGACGAAACTGGATTTATTACAAAATATAACTCTGTGCTGACTGGCATTTCTGCCTTATGTACCACCTTTGTGGTGAAGGCAGAAGAGGCTTTGAACCTGAGGATTTAAGGCCACATAGCAACAGCTGTTGCTATGGACTGTGCAGGTTAGGATTTTATTTTTTTCCCAACATCAATAAATTCACAACCTGACCCAGGATTTTAAACCTGGGTCTAACACTTGAGAGCCCAACATTCTAACCATTCTGTGTTCTGACTAATCGTTAAAATTAAGAGAACACATTATGCTGTAGGGGAAAATCAAGGGACAGAGTTACTTAAACACAAGATGTTACCTGCGACTGAAAGACATTAACAGCCTAGCGTTTGCTAAGTGTTTGAGAAGAAACACAGTATGCAATGGCAACAATGAACCTGACATCCTGTGCACGTATTGTAAAAGATTTTTCATAATGTGTGCTGGTTTTGCAAGTAACTTGATATCACCACGAGTTGTGATTCTTATGCCTCTCTATTGTACAATGTAACACTTTAATCGACAAAGACATAAAAGTGCCAACAACATTTTCACAATTTAACTCTTTTTTTTCTAAAGCAATAAACATTGTGTGGCCAGCAATTGTCCATGTATATCAGGCAGTGTGTGCTATGTTACTAGATTTTTTACATTTGCTCTAAGTTCACTAATGAAATCTGACTAGATATTTTAACACACTGCACTGAAGTCTTGCTGTTTGGCTGTTTTCTATATTTCTTCTGAAGTCCAAATAGTTGTTTTTTTCTCTCTTTGATTTCCTCTGTGGGTTTAACCTTAATCCACTTTTTGCTTTAATTTTTCTGCATGTGTATGTATGTGAAAAATGATAAGAATCTGTTTACTTTTTTTTAAAACTGTATAAAAAACATTACCATTTTAAAGATCTATACTGGAGTTGTATGTATTCTTTTCTATAGTTGACCTTGAAGCACATATTCAAGACCTACATGAGGTGACAGAAGCCACAAACTCCAGTCTAACAAGGGCAGAAGAAAAGTTGAAAATTTCACAAGAAGAAAATAAGGACTTGAAATCAAGACCTTATAATAAAAGTGACCTACAGGTAATAAGAAATGGTAGACATCCTCTTTGTCTTAAAGGAATTCTTTCGAAGGAGTGCATTTTCCTGAGAAATGTGGAACCAACATTTTGCACACATATAAGGCACATCTGTGAAACAGATGTTTCACCAACTTCATATCGTGTAATAAGATTGAAGTCTAGAAGTGTGGACGAACAACCATGACTTTTCACTGGTGAATGCAAAAAAGATGAAGTCTAAATGCACAAGAAGTTTTTTTTTTTGGTCTTACCTAATCTAGGGCTATTCTGTAGCAATGTTTTGATAACTAGCCTGTCTACCTGGTCATAGTTTCGATTTGCATCCCCATTGAGATAATTTTTTTACTTGACCTGGGTTTCCATCCTACATCGACATAATAGTGGTAAAACATGCAATAAAGACAGTTTAATTACTCTAAATGTATGAAGATCTGTATTAATTTGCTATTTTGTTGTAATAGTTGGAGACTTTGTAACCCCAGAAGTTAGCATGCTTACCTGCTGGTCTTGTGGTCACATTTCTATTCTTATTCTGTGTACACCCTTAAAAAAGCAGTTGGAAGGTTGTGTTATTGTTTACAGCTCGTCTGTGATATCTGTGCCTTTATGCTCAACACATCCAGTTTCAGCAAACTTTTTAATTAGTCGCCAACTATGACATGCTTTAATCTATAATTCTTTCTCACTGCTGTCAACTGTGGCTGCTAGTTCCGGTTGTTTGTCCACTTCTGGACTTTGGTCTTATTCTAGGACTTGAGTTTTGCGTGCACATTCCGCTTACACATCTGGCTTTTTTTTATATGCAGACTGTTGTTTTCTTACCTCTCAGACAGATGCAATCCAATTTGATCCGTCTTTAATCATCTCTAATGTCATGCTTGGTTTTGTGTGTGTGTGTGTGCATGCGTGCATGCTCGTGTGGGGTGGGGGGAGGTGTGTTTTCTTCCACTCCACATGGGGCCCTAGAATCCACAGGGGGACATGAGTCTGTTCCATTTTCCTCAAAAAGTATTACCACTAGAATCTCTACAGGGACCATTTGAAAGAATTTTTTTTTTCACTGAGCAAGGGATATCCTGGGAAGTAAAGGAGACTGGCTTGGCATACATGTTTTGAGCTTAGGCCACTCAGACCTACTTCGTAATTAGCAATCACTTGTATATTTCTGCCTTCTACATTTTGAAATATCATACTAAATTGACTTAGAAGGGCACGACTTTCAAGGATGAATACATCAATCATTGTCTGTCGTGACTGATACATCATCCATTGTGTGTTGTGACTACATCATCCATTGTGTGTCCTTACTACATCATCCAGTGTGCGTCGTGACTGGTACATCATCCATTGTGTGTCCTGATATGTTATGTGTGTTAAAAAAAACAATCTTTTTACTTACTTTGAAATAGATAAATCCCAAAATTCAGTCCCAGTAATTAATTAATGCTCAGCCTTCATATTTCAAACGCTATCACAGATATTCTGCAACTATAACTGTGTATCATTTGATATGATTAAACTGATAATGATTTACAGACAGAACTGAGAACACTTAGGGAAGACATTAAAAACCTGAATGAGAGAAATCAAAAGTTGACAGAAGAAAATCTTTGGCTAAGACAGAGTCAGAAGGAAGCTTCCAGATTTTCTACAAAAGAGGAGCCAAAGTACAAGTCTGCAAGTTCAGAATCAAGACATCAAGTATCTGTTAAAGAGAAACCACCAGTATATTCTAATGGGGAACACAGACACACTAGTCTCAGATCAGGTAATATATAGTATCACATCTTTTCATATTTTTTCCCTGCTACTCTAACCCTTGGGAGTCGCCGTGACGTAGTGGCAAGAAGCTTGCATGCGGATTGGAAGGTTGTAGTTTGCTCCATGGCGGAGCCAGACTTTTTTCAAAAGTGACCTTGACTCCCAGGTCGACCCAGCCTTGAGTGGGTACCGGGTGCAGTCCCAGGAAATAAAGGCGGCCGGCATGAAGCATAGTGTAGTTTGCACCGATCAGTCTGTCGAGACAAGAGTGTAATTTGCACCCTTTCCTCTGTGGGTCTATAGTGTTAAATTGTGCTGCGAGGGGGCATGAGTTTCACAGCTCTGAGTGTGACTAGTATCCTCTCCAATGCTCTCCCCTGCCCGAAACTGTTGGCACAATGTAGGATGCAAGGTTTGATATACACCACCTAAAATTTAACAGTCAGCGTCTGTGGCTTATTGGCCTTGCAAAAGCGCTTTGTAATAATGGGGTGTCAGGTTCGATCCCAGCTGCAGACCTAACGCCTTGTTTTGGTTTAGACAGTGGTATCGACAGCCGAGCATCCAGAAAGCGGTGGCAAACTACTAAATGTAAAATTTGCATAGAACTGACTGACTTTCTACCCCACTAGGACATCACACTAACGATAAACACCCGATGACACCAAGTGCCACCATGTGGATGAGGATCGTCGTGGAGAGGTCCCAGAAACCGCGTTTAGACAATTGGCCATATTTATGGCCTGCATATATTGCGGCCCCTGGCAAAAGCCAGAGTGGGGCTTCAAATAACAAAAAATTTCGTCCTTAAAAGGATGTAAACATTTGTGAATAGAAAAACCACAACAGCCAAAGAATGCTGGGGTTGTTTCTGCAATGCCCTGTAAAGGAAATGCAACTAACATTTGTTAGAAGATAGGTAGTACTGACTACTGTTATACGGTAACTCAATTTGACCAAAACTTGACTTTCAGTTAGTAGTGAAAAATTACATGATGATGTGTCACATAATTTCATTATTGCCTCACATTGCTCTTTGTGGCAAAATGACCAAAATTATCTTTGGTGAAAGGGAAGGAATTCGGTTGATTCTTTGCCCTTGTAGTGATTTAGAAAATTAAAACGACTTGTGAAAGTTATGAAAAAGAACCAGAGCCTTCACTGGATGAGGTACAATCAGCAATACACAGCCTGAAGAAAGGAAAGTCACCAGGTTGCGACGAAATACCAGCAGAACTAATTAAAGCAGGAGGAGAGGTCAGCGTCCGAATCTACCATGCACTGTGCTCAAAGATCTGGAACAGTGGCATTTGGGCTAAAGCGTGGAAAAGAACTATATCTAACTATACTAAGTCTATATCCCTCTCCCAAAGAAAGGAAATCCAAAACTATGCTCCAACTACCGCACCATCGCATTAATAAGTCATGCTAGCAAAATCCTCTTATGAATTATTATGAAAAGGAGTGAAAAGAAATTACAATATGAACTAGATGAAACACAAGCAGGTTTAAGACAGGGTAGAGGAACTAGGGATCACATATTTAATATGAGAATAATTTTTGAAAAATGCAGAGAATGCAATGTAGATCTTCATGCTTGTTTTATTGATTATAGCAAGGCATTTGATTGTGTCCAGCACTACCAACTGTGGACTATTATAAAAAGTATGGGGTTTCCAGCGCATTTCGTGCATTTAATTGAAAATCTCTATCATGAACAACAAGCAGCCATCAGAGCAGCTGGTGAAACATCTGATTGGTTCGAGGTGCAAAAGGGGGTGAGGCAGGGGTGCATTCTCTCACCATACCTATTCAATATATACGCAGAAAATATAATGAGAAATGTCAAAAATGACCAAACTTTTGACAGTTATGATCCGCTCAAAATTGGTGGCAACCCTATTCTGGAACTCCGCTACGCAGATGACACAGTCATCCTTTCGAACAGCGTAAAGGGAATAGAAAATTTAATATTGTCCGTTCAAAAGCACAGTGAAGATCAAAATCTGTTCTTGAATTTAAAGAAAACGAAAATAATGTCCACAGATAAAACTGGCTGTCACCCAAAAATAACAATAAATGATGAAGAAATTGAAAATGACACAAACTTTTAATATCTTGGCTCTATAATAAACAACAATGGAGACTGTTCGACAGAAATTAAAAGGAGGATGGCCATAGCAATGCAAAGATTGAACAGCCTTAAAAGTCTATGGTTAAGCACCAGCAAGGAGATAAAAATTAGAATTTTGAGAGCATGCATCTTCCCTGTGGCTACATACGGATGCGAGTTGTGGACTATCTCTCAGTCCTTAAGAAAGAGAATGGGGGCTTTTGAGCTGAAATGCTATAGAAAGATTCTCAGAATATCTTGGACAAAGAAACTGAGAAATATTGACATCTTAAAAGATCTGAACATCAAGGAAGATTGGCTAATAAACAGCATCCTTACTCGAAAGCTGAAATATTTTGGTCATATCAAGCGCCACGATGGATTGGAAAAAATTATAGCAGAAGGCATGATACCAGGAAGGAGGGGCAGGGGCCGACCGACACGAAGATGGGTACAGGACAAGTGACTCCTTGAGTGTGAAAGTTCGTGAGGCAGGAGAACTGGCAAGAGACCGAGTTTCTTACAGGCAGACTGTGATGAAAGCGACGTTTTGCAAAGGACCTGCTACATGATGATGACATATGATTACATCCCTTCTCATAGAAAAAAACCTTTTCCCGATTTTTATGGGGTAAAACGGTTAAGAAAACAAAGAATAGAAACATTGTAATGTAAAGGTCATGCCCTAAGAGGTGACCAAAGGAGGGTTAATGTGAGAGTGGTTACTTCATCCTGTAGAACACTTCAGCTTCCAAATCCATTCAACATTCAACAAGGTTTAGCTGAGTTTTTCAAAGACATATGCCCTACTAGTGGGGGGGGGGGGGGGGGGGGGGGGGGGGGGTTGAGTTGATTTGTACTTGTAATAATATTTTTTTACCCCCAGTTTAATCTACTATTAAAATTCTAATAATAGGATAGGACATGTATTTAATTGTAGATTAAGTTTAGGGGTTGAGATCTGGGGGTCTTGGCAAATATTCACCGGTTGGGGGGAGAGGAGGAAGGATGGTGGGGTTTAAAATGGGATATATACCATGTGACTGGCATTTAAAACAATTAATCATATACATATGTGATACTTCTACATGTATAATTTTATAACAAGACATCTATTCAGGCACTATCCATTTATTTAACCAGATGATGTCACTGTTAGGCCGACTTCTGCATACACAAGCAGTCCTGCTTACAGATATGGCTCTTCTTCATTGGCTGATGGAGTCACAGACCGCAGTCATGTAGTCTCATCATCACCAGTATCATCAAAGAAAATCAGCTATGAAGATCAAGAACTCGAGGAGATCAGACATGTGAACCAAGCATATGATCTGAACCAGCGTCATGAATCTCAGCTTCACCAGTTCAAGCCTAGAAGTGATTCTTACCACCATAGAAGTGATTATTCCAACAAAAGAACTGATTCTTCCCATAATAGAAATGATTATTCCCACAATAGGATGGATTCTTCCCACCATAGTAATTCTTCCCACCATAGGTATCAATCTAGGAGTGATTCATCTACAAGATCAATAGAGTCATCAAGAGCTGGTCTTCAGTATCCTGACAGATCCAAACCTGATGGGGAGGTATCAGAAAAGTCATACACTGATAAATACATCAGATCACCATATGACAAGCAGCCATTTGAAGACAGGAGATCTTATCTGGATAAGCACTCCTCATATGGGTCTCAATTTCCCAGAGGGTCAACAGAGATCTGGTCACAGGAAAGATTTGATGGTGACATGAAGGAGAACAAGTATGGGTACATAAATGATGGTGTGCAAGATAGAGATGCAAGGGTTAAATCCCTTGACAGATTGTCTTCTCCTAGAGCTGCAATTAGTTCACGAGGTTTGTTTTAGTTACATTTGTCTTGCAGTTTTATTTAAGTTTAATAAAATAGACTATATTGTTTTGAATGTTTTAGTCCCAAGCAACATATAATGAGTGATGGACTCTTCTCTGTCAATCCCAGCCATCCTGTAATGTGCAGTTTCTGATATTTGGTTAGACGATATAAAAATAAATTTGGCTTCTACTGTGACCACTTCCATGTACAGTGAACTTTTCTGAATGTGCTAATAATCATCATCATCATATTTAGCACACCATTTGCAGGATACATCTCACCATCATCATAAAGCAGGTCCTTTACAGACCATCATTCTCATCACAATATGCCAGAAAGCCATTTTATTCTTTGCAAACTTTCCCACCTTATGATTGCTCCTGCCCAGGTTGTCCTTAATAACTGTGTCCACCATCTCTGGTCAACCCTGCCTCTTCTTCCCAACATGATATTCTCTATTACTGATTTTATTCTCTTAATCATTGTAGTTTTTAATATAGTAATATAGCCACAGTTCTTATTGGGTTTTGGGGCTCTATTGGGGGGGGGGGGGGGGGACGGGGGACTCCCACTGCCTCCCTAACACTCATGTTGAGTTGAATTGAGTTAAAAATTGACATCACAGCACTCGGGGCATTCTCATGCATGCTCCGTCCTCATCTTCAGCAGCCAGCTCAGAGTTTCCAATACTGATGGTACCGGTAACAGTCTGGTTAAATGTCCGTCTTGCCTTTCCTCTGAGTGTAGTGAGCCGGCCAGACCCTCTGGTTACACCCAGGTGCCTCATTTTCTCCAGGCCATAATAATCCTAAGATTCATGTTGTAAGAGTCAACTAATTAGGGGTGTACTTGAATGTCGGAGTGAATGTGCCTGAGAGTTAAGGAATCAACAGTCTGCATGCAAATAAGCCAGATCTGTAAAACGGATGTGCACATAAAACTTATGTTTTGGAAAAATACTATAGTCCAGAAGTGGATGAACAATGAAAACTTTTCACCAGAGTTTAAAGCCAGTGAATATGAGGAAAAAGATGAAGATATGGCTAGAGTATTTTATCTTCTGAGAAAAAACGTCTATGAGTCTGTCCTTCTTACTGTTTAAGTTCTAAAGAATATGTTTTCCTCCTATTCCTATTAAACTCTAAGAATCGTACCTTAACATCTCAATCTAAAAGCCACCATTTTCTTTACTAAAGAGAAGTGATGATTGCTAACCCAGTCTACCTTTAATGTTTCTGATAAATGCATCATTTGATGCTGACTTCTTCTCCCCAAATTATGTCCCCTTTCCGAGGAAGAGAACTGATTATACTTATTATTATGTTTATTTAATTCAGTAACTTCCCGTCCTTTTCAGGATGAAATTTTTCATTATTTGAAGTCCTACTCTGGCTCTTGCCAGGGGCCTAATATAGCCTGGCCATAAATATGGCCTAAAGGCTGAACGCGGTTTCTGGGACCTCTCCACGGTGATCCTCACCCACATCGTGGCACTTTCTGTCATCAGGTGTTTATCGCTTGTGTGATGTCCTGGTGGGGTAGAAAGTCAGTCAGTCAGTCATTATGTTTATTTTATGACAGTTTTTTTTCTTTTTTCCGGCATGCTTACATGTTAACAGTAATTTTTTCATGGGTTTTCCAAAATTCTTGATTTTCCAGTCCTTTCTTCTTATAATTTCTTGTATCTCCCAGTGGAGATATAAACCATCAACTATCTCTTGCAAAACCATCCAATCCTGCACTATCTCATGTAATTCCTACTATGTACGTATTATATTACCTATCTCTGTTTGAAACCTGTCTCTCCATGTATTTTCCACAGTGTTTTTCTTCTTTTAAGAGGTGGTCTTCTTTCATCTTGGTCAAGCAAATTATTGTTCAGTTTTTCCCCTGACGATTTGCACATGATTAGTTGTATTTTGAAGCTGTTGTTATCTACATGTTTTGGTGATCAGCTTCCTTTATATTATTTGTATTATAGTTATTATATTACCTATCTCTGTTTGAAACCTATCTCTCCATGTGTTTTCCACACTGTGTTTTTCTTCTTCTAGAGGTGGTCTTCTTTCATCTTGGTCAAGCAAACTATTTTCATTTGTTTCCCCTGACAATTTGCACATGATTGGTTGTATTTTAAAGCTGTTGTTATTTACACGTTTTAATGATCAGCTTACTTCATAATATTTGTATCATACTCCTGATAAGTGAGGAGCCATTGTGGTGTAATGGCTAGACACTTGCTAGTGGGCTTGAAAGTTCTGGGTTGATATCCACATCAAGCTGAAATTTTACCCCCTAGAAAAATTAACTGGAGCTCTCAGGTCAACCGTGCCTAGAATGGGCACTAGGCAAGTTTAAATGGCTGGCATAAAGTTGTCTAAATCACCAGCCAAGCACTGACTGTTCTATAAAAGATAGGTATAGCCCTGTATGCCTAAAGTACTTAAGACTTTGGAAAGGGGTTCTGTTCTATGCTTTTCTTATAGAACTCTCTAACACACTTTACTGACAATGTTAGTGTATATGTTGACCTATTGATTGCTTTTCTTTTAGAACTCTCTAACACACTTTACTGACAATGTTAGTATATATGTTGACCTATTGTATGCTTTTCTTATAGAACTTTCTAACACACTTTACTGACAATGTTAGTGTATATGTTGACCTATTGTATGCTTTTCTAATAGAACTTTCTAACACACTTTGCTGACAATGTTGGTGTATATGTTGACCTATTGTATGCTTTTCTTATAGAACTTTCTAACACACTTTACTGACAATGTTAGTGTATATATTGACCTATTGAATGCTTTTCTGATAGAACTCTCTAACACACTTTGCTGACAATGTTGGTGTATATGTTGACCTATTGTATGCTTTTCTTATAGAACTCTCTAACACACTTTGCTGACAATGTTGGTGTATATGTTGACCTATTGAATGCTTTTCTTATAGAACTCTCTAACACACTTTACTGACAATGTAAGTGTATATGTTGACCTATTGAATGCTTTTCTTATAGAACTCTCTAACACACTTTTCTGACAATGTTAGTGTATATGTTGAAAGCATAAACATATTTGTACCCAAATTGTTGCTATATGTTGTTTGCTAGTCATAAATGTAACTTGCTCTTTTTTTTTCTTTTTTCTTCATTTTAGACATTTACTTAAACTTACAGCAGAAGCGTGCCAACAAGTGGTTGCAACAAGGTAATTTTCTGTGTTAGACACACTCGTTAATTCTTTTTTACAGCAGTATTTTTATAAACTTCATAGAGATCTCTATTTTTATAACGTTTTGTTTTCTCTTTTTAAAAACTAATATTTAAATATTAGGATTTTTTACATATATAATATAAACAACTGCAAACATAACTTTAATTGTTTGTTGTTACTGTTACAGATTTAGTTACATTTGAGCTCTTTGTCATTCGGTCTAATTCCATGTGATGATATGTGCAAGTGTTTATTTATAAAAATCTGATTTAAGTACTCTGAGTACTCTTTAATGTCTGAAGCACTTTTTTGTAATTAAATTTGATATCACATTTATCAAGTAATGTAAAAAGGGAACATCATGCCTGATCTTATATTATGTTGAGGATAAATCTATATGTATTTTTTTAATTACATCAGCATTTATTTCAAATAGCAATTTCAGTTTTAATTATTTACTGTGAGAGACTTTTCTAATCCATATACTGAAAAGCATTTTAATATTACTGTTTTACAACTTGATTTGCTTGTTGTAGTAATGGAATACAATTGTCTTATTTTAAAACATGTTGTAAGCTTGTAAAACTGTTGTTCATTTTATCAGTTTTAAACAATATCCTTCTCATGTTTTTTGTTGTTGTTTGTTTGTTGTTGTCTTGATACAGACTGACTTCTTTGTCATGATCTGGCATATTTTATAAACAACTTTAAAATCATGTTTTCAAAAATATATTTGTACTTTTTTCCCCTTCATAAATATTTATTTGTCTTGAACTGAAAGAGGAAAGAAAAGAACAATTGCCAAGTCTTCATGACGACAATGATAGTGACTCGACCCTGGTACTAATGGCTGGATTCACTACTGACCTGATCAAAGAGAAGGATGTTTTGAATCAACCAAGGGCCACAGTCAAAGGAAAAGAGAAAGAGGATTTAACATGTGATAGTCTCACAGTGAATTCATTATTCACCCATGGTACTTTTCCTGTTTTAGGCATGCATAGAAATCTTACTGCTAGTTTATTGGCTAATTTTCTAATGTGCAACATGTTAAAGCTGGCTATCTGTCAAGTAAATGTATTGGCTAGTTACATAGGATATCAAGGCAGCTTTATTACATTTATTATCTAGTTACACAGAATATCAAGGCGGCTTTTATAAATTTATCTAGCTACATAGGATATCAAGGCAGCTTTATTACATTTATTATCTAGTTACAAAAGATATCAGAGCAGCTTTATATAATTTATTAACTAGCTATAAAGGATGTCAGAGCAGCTTTATATAATGTATTATCTAGTTACATAGGATATTAAGGCAGCTATATATAATTTATTATCTAGCTACACAGGATAATAATGTTGCTTTATATAATTTACTATCTAGCTATGCAGGATTATAATTTAGCTTTATATAACTTATTATTTAGCTACACAGGATATGAAGGCAGTGATATATAATTTATTATCTAGCTCCAAAGGATATGATTTATTTTATCTTAACACAGGTTTTCAAGGAAGCTTTATATTAATTATTTCCTAACTAAATTTGATATGGAGACAGCTTTATATAATTTATTATCTAATTATACAGGATATAAAGGCAGCCTTGTATAAGTTATTGTCTGGCTACATACAAAAACAATGCAGTTTTTAATAAGTTATCTTCCAGCTTGCGTTTTTGCTACTGGGATGCTTCACCTGGGTCTTTTCATTGTGGCTATTGTTTGTGAATCCTCTGGAAAACTAGCTTAACTTTTCAGCTAGATGTATGAGCATTCGGGTTATCTAACCCATGAACAGTTTTTGTGGAGACTCTTTTCCCAACAACCATCAGGTAACAATGTGAGCTGTGTTGCCATATTCTTCCCATCTCAAAACTTTCAGTCTGCAGAGAGACATTTTGGTAATGATTTACTGTGGTACATGTTCAATCGATCAACAAGTGTATCCCCTCTGGGCTGCTACCAGCTACTACCATAACATCCTTATATTTTTTTTTTAAGTCACTGTCTGGATGGAAAATCACAAGGTAGATCCAGAGTAGCTTGATCAGCCTCCAAAGAAGTTATAATTTGGGCACCCCTAATGGCTACATCAACCAGGTGTAACCAGCAGTATTACAAGAGCAAGGACATGTTTATGGAAACTGGATGTGGCTGTTCTTAAGGTGGCAATGTTTCCTGCACTGGATTTAAATATTTCATTGTTGTTTTTGATGGATTAATTGTTGCTCCTGAGGTGTTGCACCAGGATGATATGCTATCTAATTCCAGTTGTAGATCCAGAACAATGTCATCTCTGTTCCTGCACTGTCGTTACAGGAGGATGTCATCCGCATAAGATAGAGTTCTTTCTCTGCCACCTAGTTGTTCTCCTGTGATCTTGATCTGTGTAGATGTTGATGAGGAATGGACACAATGCAGAACCCTGTGGCAAACCAGGGTGTATTGTTATCGGCTCAGAAGATCAGCTACCATGTTGAAGCATGACCTTCATTTGGAAATGTGCGGCAGATATCCATCGAATGAGATGTGAGGGGAAGGGGGGATGGGATGTTAAGTTATATTAAGTGACACATTAGTGAGTATAGATTTGATTGAAAACATTAGAGAGAATTTGTAACTTACAGTTGTGTAAAACTTGTGACTGTTAGCTCTTGGATGCTCCCCACATGCACACACGCATTCGCATGCACCTCCACAGAAAAACATACCCACACATATGATGTTAACATGTGCATATTGCTTAAACACAGAAAATATCGTTTAGAGTTAAATATTGATATCGTTTTGACCTACATAATAGGAAAGGATATTTTCTGGTTGCACTGCATTTGGACCAGGAAATCTGATAGTTTCAGCATGATTTAGACTAAAGCTCATTTGCTTGCTTAAGTAACCAGCTTTGTCTGTTCAGTGATTTGCTCTTAATGCTTCCTTTAAATAACAGAATATGGAAACGATAAACCTGTCCCTGCCTGCAGTGGTGAGCTTACTGAAACAGAAGGTAGAAAACAAAATCTGACTACATTGTTATAGCTGCAAAGTTTCCATTACTTAACAAATGTCTGTCTCTCTCGGAACAAAGTTTGTGTTGGAAAGTATCTTACAAGTTCTTGTTCTCAAAACATTTCACTAACACTGTATAATCCCTATCCTCATACTCAGTAAATCCCTGTATGGGTTCTGGAGCCCTATTGTGGGGGGGGGGGGGGGGGAGAGACTGTTCTCCCCTCCCCCACCCACAACAGTTATGTTGTAAAAGTTAACTAATTATGGGTGTTTCCTTTGTTTGAAGTAAGAGTGTATCTGTCTGAGAGATGAGGAACCAACAGTCTGCATGCAAATAAGCCACACCTGTTAAGCAGATGTACATGCAAAACTCAAGTTCTGGAAAAAGACAGAAGTCAGAAGTGGACAAACAGCTGGAACATTCTGCTGGAACTTAAAGCTGGCGAACATGAAAAAAGGAGAAACAAAATAACTTGAACTCTATTGATTAGGGTCAGAGATTGTGGCTAGATGCTTGTCTGCTGGCCCAGAGATATTGAGTTTGAATCTGCACTGAGTAAATTTAAAGGGGGGGGGGGGGGCAAAAGACATGGGCTCTCTGGTGCACCCAGGCTGAAACTGGTACCTGAAAATGTTTTGGGAAGTAAAGTTAGCTGATGTGACTTTGACCACATCACCCATTGAGTGCTGACTGATCTATACAAATTTTAGTCTAGTACCAGTTCACCTCTGGCTTGAAAAGCATCCTTTACTTTTACTTCCTATTGAACAGTATGATTTTTGGTGCTCCGTTCCCAAGTTTAATTTTTATGGAGACCTTTGGGGATCGTCACGTGAGCTATTGTGTTTGTTCTCTCAGCAGGTGGCTAGCAATTCTGCAGAGAGAGAGTGAGCACCATGAAGTTGATTCTATTTACTTTAATCTTACATTTAACCATAATCTTCAACCATTTTTTTTAACTGAGTGAAGAAGATATAGGCCTGAATATAAATAATTATATGCATGTTTTAAAGGAATGTGTGCATCTAAAGCTTTAAATATAGATCAGTTTTAGAAATAAAGTGCTGTATTTCCTGGTCTGCAATTTGGAAACTTTTATTGGTAATGCATTTTCACATTTTTTTGTTACTGGACATCCAATTTCCTTTCTTATAGTTATTTATTTTACCTAATTTTCTAGATGTGTGTTCTAGCTTCAGATATTATTACTGATGGTGAAACTTTTCTTACCTGCTAACATAAGTTTATTGTCACTAAACTTAACACTAAGAATTGCTATCAAAATGTTGAAAAAGGCTGTCTTTTCATAAAAAAAAATTCTTCACAGCCATCTTACTTTTATTATTTAGGTAACATGGCATGTTGCGTATAAGAAAACAAATGAAAAAATGAGTGTTGTATATGATATACTGAGGACAAGTATATAACTATTTTTCACCCTGCCTTCCATGGTTTGTGTATAGGACAACAAATGTAGAGATTTATTGAAAGAGAGATAGAGGAAGACATTGACAGAAGATTTGGGGAGGGAGGGGGGGGGGGGGCAAGGGGGAGCTGGACCATGACACGGAGGGGGTCAACACAGGAACTGGTACATACAGGGTCATTAAATATATTAATGCCAGAAAAGACTATATATATATATATATATATATATATATATATATATATATATATATATATATATATATATATATATATATATATGTGTGTGTGTGTGTGTGTGCATACAAGTGCGCGTGAGTTGTGTGCACATGAGTTGTGCGCACATGAGTTGTGTGCATGTGAGATTTGTGAACATGAGATGTGCGCGCATGAGCTGTGTGTGCATGAGTTGTGCGCGCGTGAGATGTGTGCGCATGAGTTGTGTGCGCATGAGTTGTGCATGCGTGAGATGTGTGTGCATGAGTTGTGTGCGTGTGAGTTGTGCAGGTGTGAGTTGTGTGTTCGTGAGTTTTGTCCACGTGAGTTCTGCGTGCGTGAGTTGTGTGTGCATGAGTTGTGTACGCATGAGTTGTGTGCGTGCGAGTTGTGTGTTCGTGAGTTTTGTCCACGTGAGTTCTGCGTGCGTGAGTTGTGTGTGCATGAGTTGTGTGCGCATGAGCTGTGTGCCAATGAGTTGTGCGCGTGTAAGTTGTACACGCGTGAGTTGTGTGCATGTGAGTTGTGCGTGCGTGAGATGTGTGCGCATGAGTTGTGTGTGTTCGTGAGTTGTGTGTGTGAGTTGTGTGCATAAGTTAGTGAGTGAGTGTTTGTGTGTGTGAGTGAGTGAGTGTGTGAGTGAGTGTGTGTGTGAGTGAGTGAGTGAGTGAGTGAGTGAATGAGTGAATGTGTGTGAGTGTTAAGTGAATGTGTGTGTGTGTGTGTGTGTGTGTGTGTGTGTGTGAAAGAGAGAGAGAGCTAGAGAGAGAGAGAGAGAAGGGGGAAGGGAGTCCAAGACATGGCAGTATTTCTAATGCTTAGAGGATCATCCAATATCAGAGTTGATTGAAAGTACTTAGAAGTTTGTGGATAGACATGACTACTAAGGCTACACAGCGTGAACTTTAAGACGATGAAGAAGCATTTTGTCTGACAAATAAGACATCAACCATCTGTATTCGAGTTCCTAGTTTACATATAGTGTACAACGCATAGTTATCTGATGGCATGTTTTTATTAGTTTACCGGAAAGCCTGCACACCTAAATTCTAATGATGACCAGATGCAAAAGACTGGTTCAACCCTAAGATATTTTTTCTTTCCGTTTGAAAAGCTTAACTCATTAAATTACATAGATTTTTAAATTCTAGATTGTGACAAAATTATTTTCTTTTCAGTACTAAGGTATTCTTTTTTTTTCCAGTTTGAACAGTTCAAATCATTAAATTACATAGATTTTGAAATTCAAAATTATGACAACAATTTTTTTTTCAGTAGCTGTGTGTTTATTTTTTGAATAGTAATCATCAGTTCCATAGGAAATCTGTTCAACTACTCTAAACCTAGCTATTTGTTGCTTTTAAGCTAAACGGCAGAGGAGGAGCTAAAGTAACAATAGCTTGGGACTTAGTGACCTGAGGTGGGAGTTTTTAACAAAATTTAACTAGGGCTCACATTTCAACCCAGTTTAAAATGGCTGTCAGGATGTGTTAGCAGAAGTATAGGCAATCGCCGCCATATTAATTTAACTACATGATCCATTGAGTGTTCATTAGTCTGGGAATGTTTGGGGCCCTCAGGTCTTGAGGAACTGTGGAAGCATAATGGCTAGCTTGTTTGCCTGTGCTCTGGTGATCATGTGTTCAGATTTACTCTGAGAACAGTGCCAGGGCACGAAAAGATATTTATGGTCTGAGGAGAATGGTACTATTAGGAGACCAGGGGATCTGGCCGATGCTCAGCACTCAAGGGAAAAGCGAGACGGATATACAGTCAGACTGTTACTGGTGCCATCGGAATCGGAACTCTGTTCTTGCTGCTGAATGTGGGGATAGAGCAATTATGGGAATGTCCTGAGTGGTAGGATGTCGATTCTTAACTCTTTCAGTCCCAGGGGGTTAAGCATCAGGGGCCCAAGGAGTAGTAAAGAGAGACATAAAACCAGAACATCTCGCATTCACTGGGCTTCTAGGTAGAAATCTATGAATGTTTGATGCGTTCCTTGGGACTAAAAGAGTTTATTCAACATTCCACAACAATAAATCTGCACAGAGGTGGGAATTTAATTTTTTTTTTTTTATGAGTCTGGCCTGGCTCCATTGTTGACCAGGCTTATATTAGATCCTGAATAACACACCCCGTCCCCCACACTGAACTGCAGGTTACTTTGCAACCTATATAACTATGCTACATGGTTAAACATCATTTGTAGAATTTGCTCCTGTTTGATTCTCATCCCTGGGGTGTCAGTCCTATGGACAGCAATCCTAAGGGTTAAACCTGATTGTCATCCTTGAGGTGGGTAATCCTGCCGACTGAAAACCTGCAGGAAATAAACTGTAATACAAGAAGAAGTTGAATGCAGGTTTCAAATTAAATATATATGTAAGAGCATTTTGATAAACTGTTTCAGGTGTGCTTATGTAATAATCTAGTATTTGCATGCATGTCCAGTTTCTTATCTTGTTACCAGACAACAAGTACATCAGTGGTAATTTGGGTCTGAGGCTACAGCAGCCTTCAAGGACGTTTGTGGACAACCCTGGGGATGATAGTGACACTGCTACTGACATTTTATTAACACAGAATGTCACTTCTAAAGGTCATCTTGTCTTGTTACTCGTACATTTTAATAATTCTATTGTTTGGCTCTACTTTTTTTTTTTTTTCAGTTTGACCAACAGTTTACCTAGCAATGAGTTTGATCAGTTTAGAGGTAGTTCTAGTTTCTTAGAAGCCACGGTGTTGCAGTAGCTTGTACACTTACCTACCAGTCTGGTGGCTTTATGTTAAAATCTCTTGAGTGATAGAGTTAACAAATGTATCCTGTCTCCCTGGTCAGCGTTAACCACACTGGGTACTAGCTGGCGTGATAATAACAAAACTCATCAAGTGCTGATATTCTATGAAAAACTAGGACTAACACCATTTACCGCCCCTTCCCCTCTCCCCCTCTCCCCCTCCCCCCTCTCCCCTCCACTAGAAATATGCTTTACTGTCTTATTTATAGTAGATAAAAAGACTTCCCCATGTGAGTCCTGGGGTGGGGGATGGGAGTGTGTGTGTTGCAAGAATGTCATTAAAGGCAACTAATTTGGGTTTAAATTGAATCAAATGTTGGACTTTGAGGTACAGATAATTCAAACTCACTGTAAAACACAACAGAACGTATCAACCGCCCTTTCAGGTTGAACCCAGAGGAAGAAGAAAAAAAAAGAAGAAGATGAAGAGGAAGAAAACGAAGAAGAGGAAGAAGACAAAAGTTAAGAAGGAGAGGCAGACAAAAGATTCTTGACTTTAAAGCTAGAAGAAGCACTCAAAATATTCATTGTTTGTTAAAATGGCAGTACTAAAAAATAATAATACTGTTCTTCAAATCCATGTTCTGAAATCCCTTCCAGTTTCAATCTAGAAATATCTGCTTGGGCAAGAAATTTCTATTAGCTGCACACAGGCATATGTTTTGTTGCCTCTATTGTTTTCCTAATCATTCACTTAAGGGTCTGCCTCTTGTGTTGCTTTCACTGTTTCTAAATATGAAATCAATATGTAGATAGTCTTGTTCTATGACTGAAATATGTGTCTCTCAGTTGAGTACATTGCTTCTATTGTCCCCACATGCTTTTATCATATCTTCATTTCTGATGATGTTTTCTGCAAGACTCATTAGGAATTTTTCGTAGCCATTTAATTTGGGTTGCTATATTTTGTTTTAAACTTTCTTGTTTTAATTATTCAAATCTCGATAATAAGAGCTATCTTTTTCTTCTTCACATTCACTGGCAGAAAGTTCTTCCACTGACATTTAGTCTTGTTACAGAACATGAGTTTTGCATGCACATCCGCTTTACACGTCTGCCTTTTGTGTGTGTGTAGACTGTTGGTTTCTCACTTCTCAGGCAAATGCATTTTGACTTAGAAGGAAACCCATAATTAGTCTATCCTTATGACACGCTTACTAGAAGGCAGTGGCTCTATTCTTTCTTCCCACTGCAATGGGGTCCCAAAATCCACACAGAGAATTACGATTATAATATTTGAAGTAATGAGAGAATAGTGTTTCAGTTTTCTTTTCTATTTAACTTCTTATGAATCTGACAGAAAAGTAAAATAACTGTTTTCATGCCAGTAAGGAATTTTGGGGATCTGGTGTTAGGTCTATATTTATAGTGATGGCACACAGAGAGTAGTATGAGCAGAATTCATCTATGACCTTTACTTTGCGAAAATTCTGGCATCCATTTTATGAGGCTGACCCAATGCCAGAGCCTTATCGATTAGGAAAAAATGCACCATTGCCACTAGTGAGGATGAGACCGAATTATAATTTTTAAAGGCTAGTGCTCTAAACATGTCATCACTGTGACTTCATATTCAGGAATGGAAAAAAGTACTGAAATTCGAGACAGTGAAACTGAAGCTTAGGAACCATCATGTCTCAGAAATGGAAAAACACTAGTCAAATCAAATGGTGCAGTGGCTTATACACAACAGTAGTTGAGGCCTAGGAAAACTAGCAGGGTCAGTCAGTACGAAGGCGAAAAAGAAAAGGATCCTGGATTCACTTTTGGGATAAAAATGAGGTTAAAAGATTTTTCTGTTGGTGTGAAGACGAGACTGGTGCTCTGCAAAAGATCTGCTACTTGATGATGGTGTTGGCACTTCTGTATCTTTTCAGACAATAGTATTATATTGTGCAGTATGTAATAGAAGGTAAAAAAAAAGTAAATCCAAGTTGATAAATTCACAAATGTGGGTACAATCATAACATCAGATGGAATATGTGTGTCAGAAATTAAGAGCAGTATAGGCCAGGCTAAAGGCTGCATATCACAGAATGAAAAACATCCTGTGCAACAGGTCCGCCTCTTTGGATGTATGAAAGAGAGTACTAAAATGTAGAACCTCTATGTCTGTATGGTAGTGAATCTTAGAATGTGAATGTACAAATTGGAAAGAACTTGGAGGTGACAGAAATGTGGTTTCTCAGATGAATGTTAAGAATCTCTTGGACTGCCAAACTAATAAGGAAGCTAATGAAAGCTAAAAGGAAAAGACAAGCACTGTTTTTTTTTACATATGTGATGAGGCTGGAGGCTTTGGAGAATATTGTGACTACTGGGAAGATCAATGATAGAACAGGGAGAGGCAGACCAAGAGAGATGATGACAGATGGATTGCGACAATGACACAGAGGGATTTCATCAGTGGAATTGATTCAGAAGACAAGGGACTGAGATCTGTTTGAATGCCTACGCCAGTCGGCAGGGCATGTGATGATAATGATGATGATGATGATGTGGAGCCATGTGAATCACTGCCCATGGCTTTGGCAAGTGTCACCAGCAAGACCCACTCATGTTAAGAAATGTCATCCACAATTATTGCATGGCATGTATGGACCACTGTTTGCCACTGCATGTATTTAAAGTGCTTTTTTTCAGATGTGCAGTTCTGAACCTGTCAGAAATCATTTTTTTTTGCCTTTTCCCTATTCGCTTCATGATTTTTTGCTTCCATGGAGCACAATCCATGGCATTTTCTATCCAATAATGTATATCAATACCTGTTTCATTTGTGTCCTACTTGCTGACATTTGTATATCATCGTAGAGACTTACCTCAGCATCTTCTACCCATCTTTAATCTACAGAGGATGCCCTTAGAGACTCTACAATCCCTATTCTCCAGATGAAACCTAGCCACCTAAGCCTTCGAAAACTTCTTTTTCTTTCTTCTTTTTCTTTTTATTCTTCTTTTTTTTTCTTTTTCTTCTTTCTCTTCTTCTTCTTCTTTTTCTTCTTCTTCTTCTTCTTCTTCTTCTTCTTCTTCTTCTTCTTCTTCTTCTTTTTCTTCTTCTTCTTCTTCTTCTTTTGTTCGCTTGAAATAGATTATCTATATCTACACTGTTGTCATTAATATGAACTTCACTGTCTTTTTTAATTCACTCAGTGACCAGTAAAGTTTGGTTTGCATCAGGGTTTTCTCATGGCCAACAGTTTTGCCTTGATATGTTGTATTTGGGACAGTCTTTGGGGATGTGATCTGTTGTTTCAGGTGCCATTCAAGATGTACACATGACTGATTCGCCAATTTTCCTTCGAAGACTGTGCCTTAAGATAACACTGTGATAATACTCATTATCCATGCATTATTGCATAAAATACTGCATGTACATATAACTACAGATGATGATTTCAGTTATTTAATGTGATACATGTATGTGCAGTTTAACCAACGTTTTTACAATGTTCAGGCCTAGTGCGTAGAAGAAAAACCTCTCTCGGCTCTGAGGGTTCCCCTTCCTCTCTCAGTGACTTTGAAGATCATACAGACACTCTTCTGAAGAGGAGATCCAAATCTGTGGATGCTAAAAGAGGTTTGTGAAGGCCATACTGCTGGGTCAAGGATCAGTTATTTGGTATCTTTTACTGGTTTTTCTTTTCAGACTAGAAAATTATTCTAAATGCTTAAAAATCTTGTTTTTTTTTTTGGCTTCAAATTGTAACAATTGTAACTAGTTGCTTACATAATTTATAAATATTCTACCTCAAATAAAGTTTTTAGTATAGATTGTTTCTTCATATGCTACATTTTCATATATATTTTATTTTTTCAATAGTTCGTTATGATAAATTCTGATTCTTTATTGAAATTTACAATACCAGTTTTGTTGGGTTTGCCTTGTCATAGTTTTCAGAAATTTTGAAACTCTTTCTGGATACTCATTCTGTAAATTCCTGAACACAAGAATACACTACATATTAGAGAATAAAAGAAGCATGCACTTGAACAATGGACATGTTGTCTTAAAGTTCTGCACTCGTTTCATTTCATAACATTAAACTCTAAGATCACAGAATAAACATTATGTAGCAGGTCCCTTGCAGAACATCACTTTGATCACAACATGTCAGAAAGCTATACAGTTTCTTGCCAACTGTCAAACCTCATACACAATCTGTCTTTGAAATCCTGTGTTCACCATCGTACATGTTGACCAGCACCTCTTCTTCCAGGAATTTTTTCTCCAAATTATTATTGTTTTTAATGTGGCCAAATAATTTGAGTTTCCAAGAAATTTTTTTCTTGGATTTCACCAGCTGTAAACTCCAGCAGAAAGTTCTGGTTATTCTATCCACTTCTGGACTTTCGCCTTGCTCCAGAACTTGAGTTTTGCATGCACATGCATTTTACAGGTCTGATTTTTTTGTATGCAGACTTGATTCCTCACCACTGAGGCAGATGCATTCTGATTCAAGGAAATAACCATAATGAATTGACTTTTATGACATGCATTAAAGGGGGGCAGTGGGTCTATTTCACTTCCCCCAACACTCTCTCCTACACTACGATTTACAATAAATTATACTGAATATGAGCCAGATTATCCATCAAAATAACAGAATCAAATCTGCAAAAAAAAAAAAAAAAAAAAAAAAAAAAAATTATAGATTTTCTTCAAATTTTACATTTATAATCACTGCTATGACAATTTTTAGACTCCAAATAGTAGTATCATAATACAAAGTGGAGAGTCTGGATTGCCAAGTTAAATATTAGGAGATATAAAAACACATAGTGAAGAGAATAAGTCAGTTCAGTAATGTCCGAACCACTTAGAAAGAACAACACAGGCTTGGTGTATGAAGGCAACATGGAGACAGAACAGGCTTGGTAAGCTTTGGCATAAGATTAGTCGGGTACTAGTATATACAAAAGTAAACAGACGAGTATTGATTGGCATTCAAAGAAAGGAAGTGGAAAGATAGCAGGACACACTAGACAACAACAGTATTCAAAGCTGCAGTGACCATATTGGGAATCAAACCTGCCACCTCCAATGACAGCAGTACCTCTGGATTGATCAAATCAAAGATAAGGAAAAATGTATGTTTTCTTTTCTCCTTTAGTTTGAGACAGTAATTTTTGTTGCCCTCACACTTCTTGAAGTTCATAGTCTGAGACGGTGATTAATGTTACCCACCGCCTTTCTTAAAGTTGATAGTCTGAGACGGTAATCAATGTTACCCACCGCCCTTCTTATAGTTGATAGTCTGAGATGGTAATTAATGTTACCCACCGCCTTTCTTAAAGTTCATAGTCTGAGACGGTAATTAATGTTACCCACTGCCCTTCTTAAAGATGATAGTCTGAGATGGTAATTAATGTTACCCACCGCCTTTCTTAAAGTTGATAGTCTGAGACGGTAATTAATGTTACCCACCGCCTTTCTTAAAGTTCATAGTCTGAGACGGTAATTAATGTTACCCACCGCCTTTCTTAAAGTTCATAGTCTGAGACGGTAATTAATGTTACCCACCGCCCTTCTTAAAGTTGATAGTCTGAGACGGTAATTAATGTTACCCACTGCCTTTCTTAAAGTTGATAGTCTGAGACGGTAATTAATGTTACACACTGCCCTTCTTAAAGTACATAGTGTATGGTCATCATGTCTATTTACCGCTTTCTGTCCTGTGTGCCACCAGTCATTTCTAATACATGTATTCTTCCATAGTGTGAAGCCAAACTGTCCTACATTTTCTTTTTAGACTTTCCCTTGGCCTCTCTTCCCTTTCAACGTTTCTGTAGTCGGACTTCACTCCAGTCTTTTCATGAGAATGTGGTCTTCCCATATGCCCGATGCACCTAAAAGTGTGAAAAAGGATCCTGATGCGCCTAAAGGTGTGAAAAGGGATCTTTACTATTTTTACTTAGTAGGCCTATTCTTATTTTTCCCATGATTGGGCCCCAGAACCCACACGGGACATCAAACAATTCAGTTTATAACTGCTTGGATTGACTCTTCAGGAAACCCCCTCATCGTTTGGAGGCTGACAACACTAGTTTTGTGTAGTGTATCCTTTTTCTTTGGCTTTCCTGCAATGGTCTCTTGTCTGGCCTTACCCCTTTTAACTTTTTGTTCTTACAGACTAATGTGCCATGTTTTATTCCACCATCTTGTATCATCTACAGGTCAAACAAGACAGGTTTCTGCAAGGCATCGAAGTGACTCTGCATCACAAACAGCCACTTCAACTGAGCACATGAATGTGGGCTTTCGCAGTGTTATCCCAACCCCATTGGTAACACAGCAGAACAAAGGGGAGATAATTAGCAAACATACCTCCCTCTTAAGCAGGTGTGTTTTGTTTTTCTTTCTTTCTTTCTTTCAGGGTTGGGGGAGGGGTGGGGGAAATAGACTACCTGCCTCCCTAACAATTCTAATAAATAAACAGAGGAGGAACCTTTGAGGCCGTTAAATATTATGAATATATCAAGTAACAGTAAGCGTATTGATTGGCACTCATAGAAAGAAGTAGAAAGATAGAAGAACACACTAGACAACATAAAAATTGAAAGCCATAGTTACCGTGCTGGGAATTGAACCTGTCACCTCCAGACGGGGTCTGCGCCTCACCATGGATACAAGTGCACTAAGAACATGGTCAACCAGGCACCCCCCCCCCCCCCCCAAAAAAGGTGTCTTATTGGCCATGTCTATCGTACAGCTTGAAATCCACAACTATGGAATAAGGACAGAATTCATTTCAAACCATTGAAATGGCACCATAGGTTACAGAAATTTATATTAACAAAGCATATTTCGAATAACAATCACAGCAACAATTTACGAACACAGTAGACCTTAATGCTTTGTCTAGAATACACAAACATTTAAGAAAGGTATTTGATTGGTAGGTTCCTAACAAGCATGTTGTAAAAGAAGACTAATTAGGGTTTTTTGGGCTGAAAGACAACAGATATCACAACATAGCTGTGAACCACAACATAACGTGTGAAATGCCATTTTAAGGGGAACTACAGAAGAAGAAGGAGAAGAAAAGGAAATTTATTTTACTGCAGCAATCCAAATTTTCAACAACGCTAGATATATTGTTTAAGGATCTATATATTTAACCACAAACTGAACCCAGAAAAATTAAAATCAAGCATAATCTCTGTCTTTGTAGATTTTGACGGACAAGAAGTAACTGTGTCAGACATGAAGTGTACAGAAAGATGTAGACAAAAATAAGTGTATTTGTGCACAACATTTTGTTTCTTCAAAATGTCATATACTGGCACTGTCATGAAACAAGCCTATTTGCATTTCTCTCAGTTCTCTGACACAAGGTCTAAGGCCTTTTGCTCCACGCTGCCCTGGTGACATTAGAGTTGATGATGTGGTCAAGTTTTCCAGTCATGGAGGGAAACTGACCCAGGGTGTGGTCAAGTATGTCGGCCATTTGCCTGGGAGGAGTGAAACTTATTTTGGCGTAGAGCTAGACAAAGATGGTAAGATTTGTGTACTTTTATTTTGGTCATTGTAAATACGGAATGGAGACAAAGGAGACAAGGATTCATCTTCATCGCCCTGTAACACAGTATGACATTGGGTCATCAGTTGCTGTTGACTATCTGGTCTGCTGGGAGTCGCCGCGGCCGAGCGGCTAGACGCTCGCCGCGGATCAGAAGGTCGTGGGTTCACTCCCTGGCGGAGCCTGACTATTTTCAAAAATGACCTTGGCTCCCAGGTCGACCCAGCCTTGAATGGGTACCAGGTGCAGTCCCGGGAAGCAAAGGTGGTCTGTGTGATGCTGACCACATCACCCATCTTGTGCCGATTGGTCTATAAAAATATAGGTCTAGCCCTACATGCCCTATATGCCTAAAGGCGTGGAAAAGGGTTCTTTACTTTTTTTAAAATCTGGTCTGCTTCCTCTACTTTTGATGGTCAGATGCAATGGACTTCATGGTTGCATGCCTAAGGCCTGTCCAGTCAATGAGTTTCAGTATCCAGGTAATTCTTGGTCTGCCTCTTCTCCTCTTCCCGTCCGCCTCTTCTCTTACTATCTGCCTCTTCTCCTCTTCCTGTCCGCCTCTTTTCTTACCATCTGCCTCTTCTCCTCTTCCCGTCTGCCTCTTCTCCTCTTCCTGTCCGCCTCTTTTTCTTTTCCCATCTGCCTCTTCTCCTCTTCCCTACTGAGCCCTATAGTATTATTTTTGAGAGGCTGTTAGATCTTATTACATGATCGTACCATTGCCTTCTTAGAGAGCAAAGGGCTGCAGACAGATTAGGAGCCGAGCATCTGAGAAGAAACATGTCAAGGTGAAGGTAAAGGTTGGAGGCAAGAGGATCGACTTCAATGCACCAGGTTTTATCCCATATGGCTGAGTCTCTCTGCAGAACAGCTTGCTGCCTGCCAAGAGTGTTGCACAGAGCATGACCTCCGAAGCTCTAGCGACAATCCCCAGGGATCTCCATAATAATTGCACTCGTGAACTGAACAGTGCCACCAAGAAACAAACCAACAACCATCAGAGCCTGAGGCAAACAGTTTGACCACTTCACCACTGAGACCCTCATCATGTCAGCTGCATATGATGAGAACTAAATCTCATAAACTTATTGCGGAAGATTTATCTTAATGTGAGCTGGTCTTGCTTGACTTTTTTGTTTTGTTTTTAAAAGGAAATTGATGTCAAATGTTCCTGTAAGCCTCAGTGGTTAAGATCTTGGGGTCATGTCATGAGTTGTCTGTTTTTTAGACCCTGAGGAATGTATTCCATTTAATTCTTTACTCTGTTCATGTTTATACCTTTTATATCTTCTTCTTTTTATTTCCTCTACTTCTAGAATCAGGACAGGAAGAGATCTCTGGAAGAGGCCCTTCCGTTTGCTATATATATATATAAAAAAAAAATGGTTTGAGACACTGGAAAAATTCCATTACATTTATTTCTCAACATTTTGAATGTTGTTTGAAATACATATATATATATACACACACACACACACACACACCCATAAGCGCTCTGTCCCCATCTTCAGCCAATTTCAATGTCACCAGTAACTGTCTGATTCTCGCCCTTCCCCTGAGTGTTGAGCATCTGCCAGACCTCTGCTAACTCCTCACAAACCATAATGATCTGTCTGTGCCTCTGCACTGTTCACTCGCTCCCAAAGGTCTCCCACAATATCTAGCTTGTCATACATCAGTTCACCACCAAGTGATGCAGAGCCGCCCAGTTTATCTGCCTGCTCATTGCTCACTGCCTGCTCATTAGGCATTCATGTGACGAAAAGGTCAACACGCATTATTTACATAAATTAATTCACAATGTTAGGTTCAAAGTTTTATGTCTTGTATGTAGTCTTACTATGTTTTTCTTTTTATTCTTTGTGAAAATATAAGCTGTTACTTATTTTTCATTTTCAGAAGGAAAGCATGATGGCACTTTTGAGGGTGTAAGATATTTTAAATGGTGAGCTGCTTTAAAAAATTTTTTTTTTTACATAAAGATGTTTTATTCATGTTCTTCTTGGTTTGCTTTCTATTAATCACATTTGTCGGTAGAGGGAAACCTCAGGATACAAGAGTACATGGATATAAGATTTTTCAGGATTCTAGGTCAGGCTCACATAATTTTGTTGCCCTAGAATACAAGCTGAAATCTGGGATGCGAACCAGAGAGAGGAGAACTCTTGGTATTACCCAACAGCATCTTCATAACTGGTAAACGGACTGGGTCACATTAACATTGCTGAAGGAGGGCTTAGACTGGTCAACATGGTCGGAAGTATTCCTATTTTCCGTTGCTGGCAAAAACATAAAAGCAGTACTGGACATTTTCCCTGTTAACAAAACAAACAAAAACATCATTTTGAAAATAATTTTTGGGGCTGAAATTAACTAAAATTATTTACATTCATTTTAATGAGAAAGAGTTTCAGGACACAGGTTATTCATCATATGAGCTCAGTCATGGAATGGATGAAATGTGTATGATTCTACTGCATTATAAAGTTGTTATTGCCTGTCAGTCTATTCATAACACTGAATAGTTTCACCCTATCTAGGTCACAGAAACCAAATTACCACTTAAGTCTATCTCACAGGCAGAAGAAAATATATAACTTACAAAAACTAAACCAAGACCACCATAATCTTAGGGTCACTACATTTACTCAGTCAGACCTTCATCGATGTGAAAATCTTTCCCTAGTGTTGTTTTCCTAACTCTTTCAGTCCAAAGCAAAGCCTATGTATGAATGGCTCTATCCTGTGATTTACCTTCATAGTATAGTGTGCTCTCTTAATTTTAAACTTTTGCCAGTACATACTAAAAGATCTGGCTACCATAATGTCAGTTAGAATGTTTATATTGCCACTTTGAAAATCATAGATTCATTTTAAGCCATGGTTATTTATCTACTTTTGCATCTTAAATGAAACCTCCTGGTGTTGGCTATCTTGTTGATTTATTAGCTTCGGAATTCTTCATCATGTAAATCCCATATCTTCCATCAAATGGCTCCTTTTATCTACAGTTTTCTTAGTCCTGTACCAATCCACTACCTTGGCGTTCATAATTTATCCAACAGAGATAATCGCTGATTATATTATTAGGAGAGTGTAATTCTGGGATTCTTATACTCTGTTTCTATTATCTGTTTGAAAAAAAGATACTGAAAACCCTCCACTAAACATACATTTGCTTAGTGACGATGAAAGTGTACAAAACACTCTAAGCAAATGCTAATGAAAACTTCAAAAACAATAGAGACTAATCAGCCTGTGGAGGTCTCCGTTTTCTCATCTTTAAAAGGGCCGTTACACCTTATGTCATGGTTTACAGCGAGGCTGTGATATCTGTACCTTTTGACCCAATACATGTTTCTGCAAACTTCTAATTAGTCACCTGTTACTCCACAGTTGTGGGATGGGCAGTAGATCTGTTATCTCCCCCCCCCCCCCCCCCCTTTTTCCCAATCCGCAGGGGAAGTACAAAATACAATCTGGTAGCTCCATTGATGTGGTTCCAGGGATTTTTTAAGCAAATGACAGGTAAGCTGAACAAAGCGGCCCAAAAATGCACTCTGCATTTTTCAGAACCTGAGGGAAATAGCTTGGCCACTTTTCAACAGGATCCCCACATATAAATTGATAAACTAACTACCAGATCAATTGATTAAACAGCCTGAATCTAATTTAATGTTTATTTTTGTGGTGTCAGTTTGTATCATTCTAATGTTGCCATTTTTTTTTCCAGCAAACCTAACAAAGGAGTTTTTGTATCCTTCAACAAAGTTGTGATGGCCTGGGCACCTTAGATTTTTCATAATATACATTTATTGAATTTTTCAGACTATTTATTGTATATTTTCACAATCTCTGAATATTTTGTGTACATTACAGATAAACACATGTAAAAGATTTCTCCTTATACTCACTTCTCAGTATGTGTAGATTAATTAGGTAATCAAAGTGTTGCAAATATTGTCATGATTGTGTTCTGCATTACAAGCTAAGAAAGATGTACTGAACCATCAAATCATCATTAAACTGTTAGTTACTTAGTTAGTCTATCCTCTTGAACGTAGGTCGGCACATAGGGCAGAGGTCATAGCTCTCCATGTCTGGTGGTTCATTGCCACCTTTTTAGGTCCTAAATGTTCATTAGGCCCATGGTTGAGCCTTCCCTGATGATGATTCTACGTAGAGTCTCTCTTGGTCTTCCCTATTTTTTTCCCCTTCCAGTGTCTATATGAATGCTTGATGGGGAAGTCTGGTCTTACTCATTCTGAATGCATGGCTGATGTAGATCCAGGGGCACTTTCTTCTAGTAAAGTTGAATACATTTTCTTGCATGGTCTCTTGTCTTATTCGCGGACTGGATCTGAAATCTGTCCAGTGAAGATTTAGTATTCTTTTAAGACATCTGTTCTCAAAATTATCTAATGTTTTGTTGTTGTCTAGAGCTAATAATGCCGTCCAACTCTCGCATCCATAAGTTAGCACTGGAATGGCACAAGTTGAAGATTCATTAAGCTGTGTGAAATTAAAATTAACTGAAAGAAAATGAATTGAGTTCATCATGGGAATCTGTCTGCTGGTGTAACTGTGAAAGAAAATATTCGCAAAAAGAAAATATAGATTGTCCTGTAATATGCAAATGTATCTAGTTACCGTGGAGTATACATTTTGTTGATTGTATTCTTGCTCTTGTTTATGTTGTTATTATTACCAGTGCTATTTTTTCTTTTCATGGTTACAACACTACACAGTACCAGCTTCTTATTTAGGTAACATTATTTTCAGTGCTACAGTAATAGGCATTTTGTGGTGAGCATTGGCGCTGTTATTTAGGACAAACAAGCCCTGATTATTAATATTATTGATAAAATATCTATAATGAAAAGAATTTATTGTCACCCCTCCCCCCCCCTTTCCCCCCCCCCCCCCCCCCCCCCCCACCCTCCCTCGTAAATTGGCATTTCGGTGGATGATACCTGGTGCCTTTTTAAGGCTAGGTCTACCTGGAGATAAGATCGTTTAAAAAAAAAAAAATCCGGCTGTGTCAGTATCTGAACCCACGACCTTTGGATGGGCAGGCACGCTTCTAGCTGCCACATATGATGCCTCCGTTTATGGGGAGTGCCAGCATAATTTTTCTAGGAATAACAATCCCTGATTATTTTTATTATTAACATTATACATTTGAAGAATTTACTATTCTCTTTTGGTAAATTTATGTTTAGATAATTCTGTTATCTATTTATAAGGTTACTGTGGCAGTATAATTGTTGTATGTAATATTACTGGTATTATTATTTGTATTATTTTGATTATCAACATGTCTTTACCTTGACTCACAGGTCAACCCAGCCTTGAGTGGGTACCGGGTGCAGTCCCAGGAAGTAAAGGTGGCTGGCGTGATGCTGACCACATCACCCATCTTGTGCCGATTGGTCTATAAAAATATAGGTCTAGCCCTATATGCCCTGTACACATAATAGTGTGAAAAAAGGACCTTTACTTTTTACTTCTTATCAACATGTCTATGAATGTGAAGAATATACAGTTGAACTTTGGTAAATCTGTGCTGGAATAATGTAACGTATGTGTCTGTGCCAGACAAGTTTGTTTAGTTTGTTGCTATAACACAATATCATCTAGTGTGTTTATGTATTATCAGTCTTAAACACCAACTGTTTTGGCATGATGGTTCATGTGCTCACTTAAAGAGTAAGAGTCAAGGTTCAAACCCCAAAAGTGGCAGCATTATTTTTAGTCAGTACATCCTTGATGTTTACCATATGTTGGTAACCCTTGCAGGATCATGTAAAGTAACCACTTTCCGTCTATGGTAGATAGCTTTTGCAAGATCATTGTAAAGGTAGCCTTAAGGCAGATGTTGCCCATTTCTGTGTGAAATACTAGGCTCGCATATTTTATAGGCTTTGAAATTTTAGTTATGTGGAACTCTAAATTGTATAGTTATAAAAACTAACTTACATATTTTCACTTTTAATATTATTTTAGTTAAGATATGCTATTGAAAGTTGAAGAACGATTGAAGACATGGAATGAGAGTTAAACAGATTTAAAAACAAATGCCTCAGAAAATATTCTTCTTCTTCTTCGCGTTCACCAGCTGTACACTCTGGCGTAAAGTTGTTCGTCCACTTCTGGGCTGCAGTCCTGCTCCAGAACCTGAGTGTTGCATGTGCATCAGTTTTACAGATCTGATTCAATTGAATGTAGACTGCTGGTTCCTTGCCTCTCAGGCAGATGCACTCCGACTTCAAAGGAAGCTTCCCAGTTAGTCGAATCTTATGACATGCTTTTGGGGAGGCAGTGGGTCTATTCTTGTTTTCCCCACAATAGGGCCCCGGAACCCACACAGGGGTGAAAATATTGAATGGGGTGAATTCAAAAGGGGTGAAGAGATAAGAGAAAGGTCTGGGCAACCACTAATAAAAACAGCTAAAAACAGCTATAAATCAAAGAAGAAGTGGCTATAGTGGACATCTCCTGAGAAGCAACGAGCAGGGAATCACAAAAGAGGAATTAAATTGGGGAGTAAAAGTATCAAGGAAGTAAGGACGTCCAAAAGAAACACCAAAACGAACAGTAATCTTCTGCTTCTTAGCTCTCACGGGCTGTAAAATCCAGCACGAAGTACTACTAGCTGTTTGCCCACTCCTTGACTTTTGACTTGAACCGGAACTTAAGTTTTATGTACACATCCATTTTACAGATCTGACTTAATTGTATGCAAACCGTTGATTCCTAGCCTCTTTGGCAGATGCACTCTGACTTTAAAGAAAATACTTCTAATTAATTAAAATTGATAAGGAGGTGTGAGTCTATTTTGTTCTCCACAATGGAGCCCAGGAAGCCTAATGAGTAGAATGTTGATGAGAGAAGCCAAAGGTGCTGGACTGGATTCCATCTATGATATCAAGGGGATGGCACATGAACGAACGAATAGAGGAATACACTGTGAACCTTACGTGACATATTGGGGCACAAGAGGACAATTAATTAACTCAGTCATGCATAAATTAATGCAAGAATTAATGACATAGTAGTTGGTGTGGCTAGTACCCTCCTTCATCACGTTCTCTTTCTGGTCTAAAACAGAAGCTGTCTCTACTCAGTGCATTTACCACTTTTCACGGTGGTGTGCGATAAGGGTCTAGAGTCTAGAGTCTATCTGGGCTAGTATTCGTGGGTTGTGCAGTCACTGCAAAATGCCTGGATTATTGTGTTTATTGTTATTTTTGACAGAAGAATAAAACCGTCATTACTTTACTAAGGATTTCAATCAGGGTCTCATAAATGAGAACCCAGCAAAGAAAACTCCACGCAGGGGATGGCAGGATGACACCAGGAAAACGTTAAGGAAATGAAGATTAACTTATAACGCGCGTTGGAAAAAGCACTTAAAAGATCCTTAGATCCTCTCAACACTTTGATGAAGTAAATGAAGAGAAGAAAGGCAAAGAATCGTCACTAAGAGGCTTTGTGTGATTCCCAGATACTCCTTATATTTCAGCCTGGCAGTTACCTGGTGGAGATAGCTCTCTAATGAGGTTTTAAATATTATTTAATAATGTAATGGATCTTAAATCTGATTCTGCTCATAACTTCACAGCACATTAACATCCAGGAAGGTTCTCGCAACTTACAGCACAAGAGAGTGTTTGGCAAAATAGCTTTTATTTTTTTTAATGACAGTGATAATACTTTAGACTTCCATGTCTGGGTTGCGGGGCCTCATTTAAGGGGAAGGGGGCGGTAGACTCACTGCCCCCCTAACAAGCATGTCGTACAAAGCGATTAAAAGAGGTGATTATTTCAAGTCAGGTGGCATCTAACTGAGAGGCGAGAAACCAACAGTCTGATTACAAATAAGCCAGATCTGTAAAACTGATGTGCACACAAAACTCAAAGTTTTAGCGTACGTGAAAAGTCCTGAAGTGGATAAACACCCAGAACTTTTTGCCAGAGTTTATAGCCAGTGAACGCAAAGAGAACGAGATGGTCAAAGGACCTGATCACCCAAGTTCCTCCATATACGAGTAGAAGGTAAACGACTTCTTTTTTTACCCACACCTTGCAACGTGTTATGAATGAGAATGCTAATTCCGTATTTTATAGAGCAATCGGCACTAAAAAAGTAATATAATAAATTTCACACAGTCTGTCTTTGCTGCCCATAACATTACCTAGTCCCCACTTCTCAGAATAGGTTCACATGTGAGTCCATTTAAATAATATCTCAGGGTTTCAAACATTCGGAGAGACGCGTCAGGTCGAGCAGTTTAAGATCGTCGGGCTCTCATTGTGACCGACCAATTTTCAGTTCCTTGGCAAGATGCAGGTTTATTTCCCCTGCACAGGTTCTACTTAACACTTATAAACATTCCCTTTCTCACTGCGATTGACATCTTATTAGTGGGGATCTTTTGCCTTTTGCGGTCTTTATTTTTAATTCATCCCAAACCCAAACAATGGAAATCCCGGTGTTTCCGGGAAAGTCCAGTATTTTAGGGGTGTTTTTAGTTGAGATTAAAGTTAGCGTTAGTCGGTGTCTCTTAGCAGGTCAGGGCTGACATAGATCCTAACCCTAACCTATAACACATCTAGAATATTGGACTCTCCCGGGAACTCCGGGATTTCCTTTGTCTCGGTTGAGTTAAACATAAAGTGTCCATTTTGCTAAAGGCCACTTTTTGGGATCCTTGTTCTAGTTTCCCCAAGGCTTCTTGCATCAGATGTGATGACTGTTCACAGAAAGCTGTATCTGTTGACTTGATTAAGA